CGGCCTGATACTTAGCAGCCATTCTACATATTTGTAGCTTCTAACATGTTCAATCGAGTGCTATGCAGAAGGCCAGTATGTCAAACAGCTCCAGGGTGGGGTCTGCTCAGTAACTCCCTCCCATCCTCTCAAGGGCCTCAGAGCCCCTAAAATTCTGTAGAGCGATTTGAGAACCGTAGAGATTCCTTTCAGCTCTCCTGGACCATAAATTCGGATTCTCCAGCCTGCTGTTCCTCTCCCCACTGTCACTAGGTCCCTCCGACAGCACACAGATCTCACCCTCAGAGTGAGTTGCCTCATCCTGATCCCAAATCTCCGATCAGCCCTTTGACCAAGGAGAGAAGGTTGGTTGCCCCGAAGGGCTGTATGGGTTGTGGATTTCTCTCCACAGCCCCCATTTACATATGGTGTGCTTATATGTACAGGGATGGGGATGGACCCCCTTATGTCACCCTAAGAAGGGAGAGTTCCTACCATGTGATTGAAGAGAAGCTGAGGCAGCATGGTTAATGATCTGCCCAAGATGGCACAGCAGCTGGGAGAGCAGGGTACCTGTGGAAACTCTCCCCTCACTCCTTGCCCCAGAGAGGGGAAGAAGGAGCCCTAAGTGGCCACAGTCCAGAATGTGGTGGGTTCTTTTCCCAGGCTGGGTCATGAGGGCATCAGGAAGGGGTCCAGGTCAGGAGATAGGGTATGTGACCGGGTGTGTGGGGGGGCAGGCTGGGGAAAACTGGCTACCTGGAGGATTAAGGGGCCAGAGGGCTGGGTGGTGGTGGGATTAAACGTCCCTGAGGAGCCTCTGGCAGCTCTTTTCATGGTGGTGGCAGGTGGGCGGAGCCGAGGGAGGGTCAGTGCTCACTCGGGGCCTTTCTCTCCCCCTGCCCCCAGCAACCTCCTCTCTAGGCTGAATGTGGCCTTGGCCTGCCCCCGCCTTCCACAGTGCTGGGCCCTATTCAGGAGGCAGCTGCAGGATGCTCCTGACTCCTGGCTCCCTGCTGGGCCCCTGCCTGTGGCCCTTTCACAGCCCGCTGCCCCAACCCCCTACACACACACACACACACACACACACACACACACACACACACCAGCCCTAGTCCCTGCTGCCTCGAACCCATCCAGCCCAGGCCTCTCACCCTGAGAGCGACCCACTGCTAAAAGTGGATGAATCCAGGGTGTGGGGCGCATGGCATGTGGGGAGCTTTGGGGCCTTCCGCACATTACTAACAAGGAAAATTGCATTTGTAGAGTTGTTTTTCCCCAAAGCTCCAAACCACGGACCCTAGCCCTCATACATGGCCTTTGAAGGAGCCCCAAAGGCAGGAAGTGTGCCCAGGAGGGCCAGCCAGGCCCCCATGATAGGAGTGCTTCCTGCTTCACTTTGAATGAGGTAGGAAGAGTTGGACACTGCATCCCTGCCGCCCTCGGCCCTGGGGAGCCACTGCCCTATGTCTGCTCTAACCCGCCACAACCTGAGGGGACGCTGGGCATGCTTGATAGATGAGGCAATTATGCCTTGAGAGGTTTACTCTAAATTATACAAACTAGTTAGTGGCTGGAACAAGAATGGGATTTTGCCTTGCTCCCTGCAGCCCCCTTTAGAAGCCCTCAGTCCTCTTCTGGGGTGAGAGGACCTACTGCTGTCTGCCTTCTGCTTGCTCTCCCTGATTCTTTCTCCCTTTTTTTTTTTTTAAAGATTTTATTCATTTATTCATAGAGACACACAGAGAGAGAGAGGCAGAGACACAGGCAAAGGGAGAAGCAGGCTCCATGCAGGAAGCCCGACGCGGGACTCGATTCCGGGTCTCCAGGACCACGCCCTGGACCGAAGGTGGCGCTAAACCGCTGAGCCACCCGGGCTGCCCTCCTTTTCCCTTTGTCTCCCTGTCTCTGCCTCCTGCCTGCCCCTGTGCCCCATGCTCACTGTCTGCCTCTGCTCTTGCCCTCATCTTTCCAGGTGATGGGGGCAGAAGGTGTCCTCTGTGCAGCCAGCCCTTCTCTGCCTCTCCCTCCCTGCTAGGCACCCTCCTTCATCCCTGAGGCCTCATTATTAGGGTAGTGATGACCCCCATTGTCTGGTTTGTCTGGCCCTGGCATGAAAGGTAGGGTTTTGGCAGAGAAGGGAGACTCGGCCTGTTTCCAGCTCATTCTCTGTAGTCTGGAGCCTGTAATGTGCTTGGGGCAGGACTGGAGGGGGGTGGGGGCTCCTGGAGCCACAGGGCAGCCCCTGTCACTAGGACAACAGCAGGGAGCCCTGGAGGGGGAGGGAGACCCGGGGAGCAGGTGGTTCTTTGTCTGGAGCTGGAACAAGGGAGAGGGGCCCTAGCCTGATCCCAGTCCTCCACCCTGCTGCCCTCCCAAGCCTCTGAGGCAGCCCCTGGGAGGGGATTGGTGTTCTTGCTCTTGAATGAGAGGCCACTGAGCTTTCTCCCCCAGACCATGTCAGGAGAGACTCCATGCTGTGGGCATACCTCTGCCCCCACTGCAGTGCTCATGGGGGGTGGTCATGGGGGGAGAGTGGATTTTCCCCAGATTCAGGGTTGCTTCTCCACCTCTACCCCTCACCCCCATCATAGCCCACCTAGCACAAGGGGCCACGTGAGGCCATGCCAGTGAGTCAGGTGGTCTGTGTCAGTCTGTGGGAATACAAGGGGTCCCAAGCACCCAAGGGAGACCTTCGCTGGCTATCATTGCCCTTTCCTGGTTCAGCTCTCACTTTTTTTTTTTTTTTTTTTTTTTTAGATTTTACTTATTTATTCATGAGAGACACGGGGAGAGAGGGAGAGAGAGAGGCAGAGACACAGGCAGAGGGAGAAGCGGGCTCCCTGTGATGAGCCCAAAGCAGGACTCCATCCCAGGACCTCGGGATCACACCCTGAGCCAAAGGCTCAACCGCTGAGCCACCCAGGAGTCCCAAGCTCTCACTTTCCTATCTGAATGATGGGCGGGGGGATCAGAACCGCTGCCAAGTGTGCCACTCTTTCCTGCTTTCAAAATCTGTTTAGGAAAAAAAAAATCTGTTTAGGGTGGGTCTGTTAGAGCCGTGGAGCTCCCCCCTCTCCCTCCTCTCACTTTGATCCTTGACTTTGGCTCTGGAGCAGCAGAGCAGGCCCCTGGAGGCTGAAGGTCACGAGCTACCAGTGCTAAGCTGCCTGGGTGCAGAATGCTTCTTGGCAGGCATGTCACCTAATCTCTCAGCACTCATTTCCCTGTGCCTCTATTTCCTTATCTGTAATATGGGGATAGTAATAGGACTTGTTTCATGGAGTTGTCGGGGAGTCAAAGAAATTATACACATCAAGTGTTTAGAGAGGCCTTTGGCTCCATGAAAACAGCAAATATTAGATTTTTTTTAAGATTTTATTTATTTAATCATGAGAGACACACAGAGAGAGGCAGAGACACAGGCAGAGGGAGAAGTAGGCTCCCTGTGGGGAACCTGATGCGGGACTCAAATCCCAGGACCTGAGCCAAAGGCAGACGCTCAACCACTGAGCCACCCAGGTGCCCAGGTGTTTTTATTCTTAAAGATCTTTGTGGGGCAGGGAGTCTCAGAGTTTCCTGAAATACTCAGTGGCGTAACGTGCTTGACACAAATAGGTGTCATTCTTGGAACCTGGTATTTGGAATTGAGGGTGGGGACACATGCAAATTTTTAAATAGGCCTCTTTAGGAATGTCATCTCCTTCCCTGAGTTCTGGGAAGAATTGAAATAGCCCAAGACTTGTGACTCTTGGCTATTTCTCTTGGGTTGTCTTAGAGGTACTGCACACTGAATCAGCCTTCCTAAAATAGTCTCCATTGACCTTATCTAGGAAAGGGGGAGACATGGATTTGGTCATCTGGGCTCCCCTGTGATGCACACAAGGACATCCACAACGTCTGTTTGCCTTTAAAATCTAAGCCACCCACTGCAGCGTCTGTAGGCACAGCAACTTTATGTGGGGAAGCAGTTGGTGAACAAGCAGGACTGTCCACATTGGCGATAGACAGTTCTCATCATGCTGTAGCAGGGTGTGTGCTGGGCGGGGGGGACCCTGGATGGGGCTCGGTGAGGAAGGAGGGGCTGTGGAAGAGGCATTGAAAGGCTGGGGGCTTCTCTGGGAGAGATGGATGAGCTCCTTTCCTACCTGAATCGATGATACTTTCCCTGGAAGATGAGTACCCTTCTTTTCATCCCAACACCCACTATTTATCTGCCCAAGAAATGCTTACTGAGCACCAGTTATGCCAGGCTCCTGCTAAACTCTGAGGTATGCAGTGCCACCAGCACCTACGATCCAGCAGCCCAGTGAGGAGGCACAGGTAGGACATTAGAGGGCTGGGCAGTCTGGCAGCCAGAGGTCTGTCTGGTGTGCAGGGGGGCAGCCAGAGCAGCCTGTGTCCTGGGGAGTCCTGACACTGCACAGAGTGGCTGGACAGGGTGAGTCAGAGTCTCCCCGGCAGGCAACGGTGGCAAGGATGGAGGAACAGGCTGCAAAGCTGTACAGTGTCTCTGGGGACCCCCATCCAGGCCTATGTGCGTGGCTGTGGGTGTACGTGAGTGTGGTTGAGAACCATGCCAGCAGCCAGGTACAGCAGGATTTACAAGGCTGGGCCTCTGCTCCCCGAGGCCCCAGCATCCCCCACCAGAGTCCCTCTGGCCCATGCCCTGGAATTTCTTCATCTTCCCCGCCCTCGGTGCCTTTTCCTTCCTGCTTTCCTTTTGTCCAGGGTCAGGATTAGGGGTGGACAGGAGGGAGCTTAATTCTGAGCCTCAGTGATCCTGTCCACACACAAGATAGTTGGATTGGGTGATCTGAAAGGGTTCCAGGGCCTTCTAAGACTTTAAGTGGTTGTCCATGCCCTATCTGGATATTTCCCATGGGGGCCTTAGAAACATCCCAGACTCAGCCTGGGCCTCTGTTGGCAGAGGGTGGGGGACAGGAGTTGGTGAGTGGTGATGGAGACAAGGCACCTGTGGGACCCCACTGACCCCACTGCCGTCTGTGCTTCTCCCTCAGTATGACCCTGGAAACACAGGCTACATCAGCACAGGCAAGTTCCGCAGCCTCCTGGAGAGTCACAGCTCCAAGCTGGACCCGCACAAAAGGGAGGTGCTCCTGGCTCTCGCCGACAGCCATGCAGATGGGCAGATCTGCTACCAGGATTTTGTCAACCTGGTGAGCACTCTGGGGACTGCACTGCTGGGAGGAGGGCCTGTTTGGGGATTATGGCTTAGAAGACTTTTTTATGCAATTAAAGGGATCTGTTGGCTTGCAGAATTGAAAAAGTCCAGACTTCAGAAGGGGAAAGGAAATCACTGAGGACCTGGTTTCTCTTTGTGTCTCTGTTCTGCCTTCTGCAGTGTCAGCCCTTACCCCTGGCAGTTCCAGACTCTCCCATGTGGCAGCAAAGTGGCTGCGGCTGTTCCAGCCCTTCCACCATACTGAGGGAGAGAGGGACTCCTGTGGTAGTTCCCACACAAGGCTTGGGATTTCCTCTGTCCCATTGGCCTAGATTGGGTAGGTGGGATGTGTTGATTGAATCAAGCCCATCGGTGCCCACCCATGGGCTGGGGGTGGGGTCAATTGCACTGAGAGGGAGGGCTGGGAGTAGGAGATGGGAGGCAATCGATGAAAGGACAGGAGCTGGGGAGGGGATATTGGGAGCAAAGGGCTTGTGGATGGAGGTCAGAGCTCCTCAGACCTGCTGGAGGATGCCCTGGGTTGTTGGAGGGGCTGAAAACAGGAGACCTGTGAGCCCTGACCAGGGGTCCAGTGTCTTGGAGTAGGGACTTCCTCCTCACTGGGGGTTACTGCTGTGCTATTATGGGAGCCACTGTGGCAAGGTTGGAGTGGGGTTCAGTGGGATCCAGTAGGAAGCCTCCCACCATGGATGAATGGGACGTGAGTAAAAGCTGGATGAACCAGCAGGATAAATAAAAGGCCAGAAGTTTGCTCTCAGCTTCCCTGTTAGTGAAATGGAGAAGCCACCCCTTTGCTTGCCACCCAGGGAGGGGCAAGAATGAAATGACTTGTGAGAGGTTCCCCAGGCTCCTAGAATTCAAAAGCACTGGTGATGGGGGTGACCAATACCATGGTACCTGCGGTTGTGCTAGGTGAGCTCTCTGATTGGGTATCCAGGCTTTGGAGTTGTGCTACTTGCTTCTTGATGAAAGCCTGCCTTTGCCCAGAGGTTAGCATGATTGGGGGGAGCAGCTATAGGGAGGGTGAAGAAATCTGCTGTTCAGGGTAGATCCCGAGAGTAGGCCTTCTAGAGGGTGGGAGACAGAGCTGAGCTAAATGGAAGGGTGGGGACAGTCAGGATTCATTTGATGAGCAGTGGTGGTGAGCCCTGTGACTTTGAGCCCAGCAGTGCCACCAAACCAGGCCATGGGTTTGAGCCTGCATAGGCTCATCCACAGCCCAGTGTGTTTGCTGCATGCCCCCGTTCAGTCTCAGGGCGGAGCAAAGGCTTCGATGGGCCAGTGAGATGCTTCTATTCAACTGCAGATTTGTGTGAACTCCAGCAGGAGATTACTTGTTACTGTTGGGATTTCTGTTCACTTTCTAAGCTGGAGCCTGGATTCATGTGAGCAGGGCTGCCCTGGGGATGTGGAGGCCTAAGAAGGGCTCTCTCCCAGAGGGAAGGTCTCCGTAAAGCAGAGTGCTCAGGGGCTGGAGTCAGGCAGACCTGGGTCCTGCTTCTGCCCCTGCATTTGCCTTTCACTGAGAAAGATCTCCTGGGCCTAGGTTTTCTAATTTGTAAATTGAAGCCAAAGGCTGCCCTCTTAGGTGTTGTCATAAGGATTAAATAAGATGGAGTATTTGGTTTTTTTTTTTGTTTGTTTATTTTTGGTTTTTAAACATTTTATTTATTTATTCATGAGAGACACACACAGAGAGAGGCAAGACACAGGCAGAGGGAGAAGCAGGTTCCACGCAGGGAGCCCAATGTGGGACTCGATCCCAGGATACTGGGATCACGGCCTGAGCCAAAGGCAGATGCTCAACCACTGAACCTGGTGTCCCTAAGGTGGAGTATTTGAAAGATTTTGTTATGTCTAAGGTTCTTCCCCCAGGGAAACTCCCTTTGCATCCTTTGGGAGCCCTTCCCCAACCCAACCCAAGACCAGGCAGAATGAACCGACCTTACCCAGAGACCCCCACGGTGCTTTGCCCAGGCCTCTCTTGAGTACAGACCGTACTGCATTCCAGCTGGGTGGCCAGGGTTGTAATGTATGGGAGTGCAGCTTACATCCTATACAAGGATGCCTGCCAGTAAGATAAATGGGGACAGAAATCTGGCCTGGGCTCTGTTCACTAAGGCCTAGAATGGGTGCATCCACTTGGAAGAAAAGGCTCCCTTATCTAACGGACACAAGAGTACCCTACAGGCTGGCATGGACTCTGGAGTCAGATGTATCTGGATTTGAATCCTGACTCTTTGGGTCCTTGAGAAAATTGCTCACTTTCTTCAAGCTTTAGTCCCCATCTTGATTTTTTATTTATTTATTTTTAAAAGTTTATTTATTTAGTTAAGTAATCTCTACATCCAGTGTGGGGCTTGAACTCCTGACCCCAAGATAGAGAGTTGCATGTTCTTACAACTGAGCCGACCAGGCGCCCCAGTCCCCATCTTTATAATGTGAGGATAGTGCTCTGCACCAATTAACTAGCATTCACCTCTCCTTGTGAGCGCTATGAGGCCTGAGACCCAGCCCAGTTCTGGGCACATTAGGGTGCAGGTGAATGGTGAGTGTGTGCACATTGCTTTCCCTGACCTCCTGTCAAGCCCACTCCCTCCATGTGGGTCTTCAGGGTGTGGCCATGGGTGTGTTGTGAGTAGGTATGCTGTGCACACCCAGGGATTGGGAGAAAGGATGGTAAGAGTGGCTACAAAACAGTTTGACAGGGATGCCTGGGTGGCTCAGTGAGTTAAGCATCCGATTCATGATTTAGGCTCAGGTCATGATCTCAGGATCATGGGATTGAGCCCCATGTCAGGCTCTGCACTGAGCCTAAAGCCTGCTTAGGATTCTCTCTCCCCCTCCTCCCCCTTTGTCCCTCCTCCCTGTGCACTCTCTTTCTCTAAAAATTAAAAAAAAAAGTTTGTAAAAAAAAAATAACAGTTTAATAACGTGATCCTGTCTTGGGTTTGCAGTGAGTGAACACAGAGCCCCAAGCTCTGCCCACATTTATAGGACTCCTCCTGTGCCACCAAGAACCAGATCCAAGCTTTGTGGGCATGGGGAGGATGAGAATAGGGATTGATGGAAGGGGCTCATCTGGGAAGGCCGACTGGAAGGAGCAAGCCTTAAGCCAGACTTTGAAGGTGAAAGATCACAGAACCCGGGAATGGAGAAGGGCACTGCAGACAGAGGCTCAGTGCCCTTCCACCTGGCCTGCTCTGAACACAGATCCTTTCCACTTATTCCCTCATGACACAGCTTCAGACCCCTGTGTCTTGGTCTGGACTGGCTCACCTGGCCAGCCCTCTCTGGACTTCTGCCATCAGGTTTATCTAACTGTCCATTGCTAAGACTACAGTCTCAGGAATATGTTGATAGTCCCTATCTCAGTTACCTGGGCAGCCCTATGGCTCTAGGGTTGGAAGAGCTGTATCTCCCTGTAAGAAGGGTCTAGAGTGTGGTCACGGAGGGCAGATGGGAGGCGACAGAGGCCCCGGGAGGCTGGAAGTCAGCAGGACCAGCCAGCTGGTTTCTGGGAGTCAAACTGACCATAGAGGGAGACAGCCAGGACTCCAGGGAGGCTGCATCATGGCAGCATTATGCTGCCATGGTATGACCAGTCTGCAGACAAGGCTCTAGGACCAGTTCCTTGGCTTGCCAGGCATTACAGGCTCCTTGAAAGCACTCAGGGGTGATGGCCTCCCACAAGCACAGTTTTGGGTTCTAGTCTTAGAGACCTCTCTGCAAACTTGCCCATCTAATCAAGATCTGTCCACCTCTTCCCAAGCTAGGATGTCTGAGGACATGAACTCCTCATCACCCTTCAGTTCTCAGTTACCACCTCCCAGGAGGCCCTCCCTGCCCCCACTGTGGGACTGGCTCAGGCTCCTGCTTGCTCCTCAGCAGCCTTCACTCTGAACCATGCATAGTTGCTGGTTACTTATTTGTCTTGAGCAGCATTGTATGCCTTGTATCTGGCAATGCACTGACCTTTAGTAATTGCCCAGTATGGCTGGTGGATAGGGGGATGGAAAGAAGGTATGGTGAACATGAGTACACCCGGCTTGGGCTTGAGCCTTCCTGGGTTTGAACTCAGTGGGTCCCTAAAACTCTGTGTGATTGAGTAGAATGGGCATTTTCATAATCCTTATCTAACAGGCAGACCAGTTAAGTACCAAATGAGCCCAACACATGGCAAATGCTGAGAACAACAGCTGCCAGATAAGAGCTCAGTGAATATTGCTTCTTGTTAACGATTACAGAAGAAAGAGGAAGGTGGAATCAGGCCCGATTGGTCCAAGGAGTGTACTGGCTGGGAAATGGGTCAGGGCTCCCCCCGAGACCCCAGTTCTGACCCTTTGCCCCATCCTGTATCCTGTGCAGATGAGCAACAAGCGATCTAACAGCTTCCGCCAGGCCATCCTGCAGGGGAACCGCAGGCTCTGCAGCAAAGCCCTGCTGGAGGAGAAAGGGCTGAACCTGTCCCAGCGGCTGATCCGCCACGTGGCCTATGAGACCCTGCCCCGGGAGATTGACCGGAAGTGGTACTACGACAGTTACACCTGCTGCCCCCCACCCTGGTTCATGATCACAGTCACTGTGCTGGAGGCAAGGACAGTGGTGGGGGAGGGGGTTGGGAGAGAGGCAGCGGGAGGCCCTCTGAGATCAAGAGGGGAAGGGCAGCATCTTTTCCACCAAAAGATTGAGGTGGTTGAGGACCAGTTGTCGTTCACCAGTCAGACCTGTGTTCCAGAGCCTGCAAGTGTTGTTTTAACCCCTGGACCCCAAAGATATCCCAAAGATGATCAAGCCATATTGACCACAGCAAACTTCCCACATTCCCATCCCTACCAAAACAGCAGTAGCAAAAGCAATGTAATAAGTTTGTTGATTTGGGGTAGTTAGCCGGCCTAACTCCTTAAAACAAGCTATTTTAGTTCCTCCCTTGGTGAGTAATGTGGACAAGTTGTTTGCTCCCCTGGGGCCCCTTCTCCCACCTGTAAAGTAGGGATAACCAGACCCACCCTCCTCCCATAGGACTCCTCCAGAGCAAGAGTGGCTGGTGGTGCTTTCTGAATGCAAAAGCATTACAAATACATATGGGAAGGGGTGTTTATGAACAGGTAAATGTGGGCTTAACATATTTTGAAAGAACATTCTCCCCTTGGGAATCATCCATACCTGTTATTCTAAACATCTTCTGCTGATGCAACAGCATCCAGAGGTACACTTTCTCAATCAGTGCCCATGTGTGAGAAACTGAGTTCTCTTGGCTGTTCAGCCTAGAATCTGTGAGCCCCCGACCCCAGCTCCTGAATGGCGTTCTATAGTCTGCAGTATTTCTCTTCCTAGCCATGGGCCTAATTACCACCTGGGCATATGTTCTTGTAAAGTTGATGCCGAATCAAATAACAGGATCATTAAGCTCCATGGCATCCTCCTTTTTTCCTAAATCAGAATAGCTGATCTGTAGGCCAGTGCTCCTCCGTTTGTTGTTATGGCTTCATCCGAGTACATGTTGAAGATGTGATTTTTCTGAGATATTCTTGGAATCGTCCTCCAAATGCTTTCTGTGTTGGTCTATTTATTAAGTTCTATTTGAGGACCAATAATAATGAGCTGCCTTGGGAGCTGTATTTGCTGCCAGGCCACCCGCATTGTGTGAGATGGACAGAGCGTTTCCCCCGAGAACCCAAGGGAGTCCTGCTGGGGGGCCTGAGCCATTCTCAGGCTCAGCCCAGGAGGCCTTAACCCCACACTAATTATAGCTTCATTTGCTGAGTGTATAACAGGCACCCAGCTGGCTCTTCCTGCACTTCACCCCTTTCAAACCTCATGATCACCTTGGTACCCCTATTTCCAGGTAAGGAAACCAAGGACCAGAGAGTTCAAATAATGTGTCCAAGGTCATCCAGAGAGGCCAGATTGTCCAGATTGGTTTCAAATTTCCAGAAACCTCAACTTATAAACTGAAACCACGAATCTAGAAGAAAATACTGAAATAATTTTTTAAGGATTATCTTTTTTTTTTTTAAGATTTTATTTGTTTATTTATTTGAGAGAGACAGAGAGGGAGAGTGTGAGCAGAGAGAGGGAGAAGCAGACTCCCTGCTAAGTAGGAAGCCTGATGTAGGGCTTGATCCCTGAACCCTTGGATCATGACCTAAGCCGAAGGCAGATGCTTAACCGACTGAGCCACTCAGGCACCCCTGAAATAATTATTTCAAACTATTTGTACGAAAGCTCAAAGCTTTTGTTTTTGGTTTTCTGGTTCTGTAACAGATAATGGAAGGGGCATGGTAGGAAGCTACCAGCCCAGATCAGTACCTGAGATAGCTTTAAAAGAGTATGCATACACCCTGAGGAGGAACACAGGGACATGAATGATGTATTTTATTTTATTTTATTTTATTTTATTTTTTATTTTTTATTTTTCAAAGATTTTATTTATTTATCCATGACAGAAAGAGAGAGAGAGAGAGAGAGAGAGAGAGAGAGAGAGAGGGGCAGAGACACAGGCAGAGGGAGAAGCAGGCTCCATGCAGGAAGCCCGACATAGGACTCAATCCCGAGTCTCCAGGATCACACCCTGGGCCAAAGGCAGCGCTAAACCACCAAGCCACCAGGGCTGCCCTGCATTTTATTTTATGTTTTTTAAAGTTTATTTAAGTAATCTCTTCACCCAACGTGGGGCTCGAACTCACAACCCCAACATCAAGAGTCATGTCCCTTCCAACTGAGCTGGCCAGGTGCTCCTAAATGATACATTTTATCTTTTTAAGATTTTATTTATTTATTTGTTTGAGAGAGAGAGAATGAGGGGAGGGGCAAAAGGAGAGGGAGAGAAAGAACCCCAGGCAGTCTCCAGGCTGAGCACGAAGCCCAGCGCAGGGCTTGATCTCATGACCCCAAGACTATGACGGGAGCCGAAATCAAGAGTTGGATGCTTAACTGACTGAGCCACCCAGGCGCCCACTGAATGATGCATTTTAGAAAGAGTTCTATTTAAAAAGTACCCTTTTAGGGTATAAACAAATATGCTTCAGTCATGGGCGAAATCAGCTCATGTGGAGTATTGGTGAGGAGGTAGAGGTATTGGAACCCTGGTGCACTGTGGATGGGAATGCAAAATGAAGCCATTACTGGAAACTGTGGAGGTTCTTCAGAAAATTAAACATAGAGCAGCACCTGGGTAGCATAGTCAATTAAGCATCCAACTCTTGGTTTTGGCTCAGGTCATGATCTCATGGTTATAAGATCGAGCACAGTCTGCTTGGGATTCTCTCTCCATCTCTCTCTCTGTGTCTCCTGCTCCTTCTCTCTCTCTCTCTCTCTCTCTTATGCGCGTGCGCTCTCACTCTCTCGCTCTCTCAAATAAATAAATATTTTTTAAAAAAATTAAACATAGAACTACTATGTGATCCAGCGACCCCATTTCTGGGTAAATACCCAAAAGAATCAAAAGCAGGGACTCAAAGAGATTTATTAGTATATCATCTCTATAGGAGCATTATTCACAATAGCTAAAATATGGAAGCAACCCAAGTGTTGGATAAATGGATAACAAAATGTGGTCTATATATTCAGTGGAATTTTTTTTTAAAATTCAATGGAATATTATTCAGTCTTTAAAAAGAAGGAAATTTGGACACATGCTGTAACATGAGTGCACCTTGAGGAATGATACTATGTAGAATAAGCCAGCCACAAAAAGACAAACACCATATGAGTCCTCTTAGATGAGGTGCCCAGGGAATCAAGTTCATAGAGAAAGGAAGTAGAATGGCGGTTGCCAGAGCTGGGGGAAAGGGGAGGGTGGAGTTGGTGTTTAATGGAGTCAGAGTTTCAGTTTTACAAGATGAGAAGACTTCTGTGGATGGTGCCAGTGATGATCGCACAACATCCTAAGTAAACTGAATGCCACTGAGCTGTACAGTTAACACTGATTGAAGTGGGAAATTTTATGTTATGTGTATTTTGTCACAATTTTAAAAAACTGCTTATGTGGTATTGCCTCTTCCCCCAAATGGTATGTAAATTATTACTGTGATTAGGTTATTTTTTTAAGATTTTATTTATTTATTTGAGAGCAAGGGAGGGAGAGAGCAAACGCTTGAGTGCGTGAGGGAGAAGGAGAATCTGAGGCAGACTCCCTGCTGAGCACAGGGCCTGATGTGGGGCTTGATCCCAGGACCGTGAGACCATGACCTGAGCCGAAACCAAGGTTCAACCGACTGAGCCACCTAGGCAACCCACTGCAATTAGTTTAAAACCTTGGAACCCTTCCTGCCTAGCCCCGAGGAGGTGTGGGCAGAGCCCATCTGAACATGTTGTGACCACTTAACACAAAATAGTCAGAAGTGGGGTGAGGTAATTGAAAGCTAGGCTGCACACTGACCATAGGGTGCCCCTCGTTCTCTAAGGAGGAAAGGTGACAATTTTCAGTAGAGATTCTGAACATTAGCGCCAGAGGGGCTCGTGGGCAGTCTTGTGTCTAGTAATAGGCCCTCATCATTCTGTGTTTTCATCCAGGTTGCCTTTTTCCTCTACAACGGAGTGTCGCTGGATCAATTTGTGCTACAGGTAACCCATCCGCGATACCTGAAGAACTCACTGGTTTATCATCCACAGCTCCGCGCACAGGCGTGGCGCTACCTGACATACATCTTCATGCATGCTGGGTGAGTACCTGCCTTCATTTGCTCCACCCAGAGTCCTTGTGGGAAAATAGATCCAGAGAGCCTAGACTGAAATATATGTTTTAGATTATTTTTTATCTTTCTGGACACAGCATTTGATGTGGCTCCTTGAAATTTACCTAATACCAAAATATATGAGTTAATTATTGTCAGTGTATGGGAAAGGGGAAATGGATGGAGGAAAATGCTAAATTTAAGCCCATAGTGAGAGCAGTATAAATGTAGGTTATAAGCTTGCTCTGAGGTTCCTAGTGGCCAAAGCAAAAAGGGAAGTGTGGTTAGCAACCAAATTCATTGTCCATAAACTCTGTATGTGTGCAAGTGGCTCCATAAGTGAAATAAAGGATAGATTTCTTGAAAGTGCCTTTTTCTCAAGGTGGTCTCCATAGGTGGTGAGAGTCTTTGAGGAATTCTGGCAATACGGGTAGTTTCTGTTTGTAGATATGTGGCTTCTTTTGGGGCTGGAATATAGTTGGTTCTCACTGGTGCCTCCTACCCCACGATAAGGACCTGGTGGCTGGCCAGGTGACCACCCAGGTCCCAGTCCCCTGAAGAACATGATCTTGGCTAGAGACCTTTTTTTTACATAGTAAAAGCACTCAGTTCGGAGAGTAGAGTCCGTAGACGCTAGCCTCTGTGGTGTCTTCTGCAGTGTCTCCAGAGAGAAGCGAAAGGGTTCACCGTTAGCCTGGGAAAAGCTCTGGGAGTGCCTGTCCCTGGGTTTGGAAGTGGGAAGAGGGTCACTCTGGTTCCCATTCCTTAGCAGAAAGACCAACAATGGCCGAGAGGGAGCCACACTGTGTCTCCCCTCCTGCTGAGCTCCAAAGCAGCACAAGTGCCAAACCCTAATTGGCTGCACTTATAGGAGAGGGGTTTTGGGGTGAGGAGACATGTCAGTGGTTTCTAAGGGATGTCTCCACTCTGAGCCAGAGGTGATGGTTGGTGCAGGCTGATACTTTGCCTGCTACGTCCCATGCTTGACCTCACAGGACAGCACCATTTGTCTGAGTTACATTGCAGGTGCCCTCCTGGGTAGGCATGTACCCATGTGACCTGAGTGGCACAGCAGTTTGCTTCCAGGCCTGGCCCTCCAGACCAGGATGGGGCTGTGACCCAGGCCAGGGTCCAGACCTCTCATAACGTACCCTGTTACCCTATAACTTAAACATCCCAAGGAAGCTAAGCAGGTGCTCTAGGGTCAATTTAAATGAGGTAATGGATGCTAGAGTGTTTTATAAACTTGAAAGCACACATTGATGCAGTAATAGTAAAGTTACAGTTTTTTCTAGTAATAGGTTCACCCAGTTAGACACCATTTAGCAACAAGATCTGGTCACAGATATATGATAGTATAAAAAGGAAAGTATTCACAGAGTAAGAAAACCCAACCCCAGGGTGTTGGGAGTAGAGTGGGTCCCTTCTCACCAGGAAGAAGCCTCCCCTATGAGATTTTAAGGGAGAACTTTGAATTATTAAATTCTAAGAGATATATGCTTGTGTTTCTTTTGAAAACGTCTTCCTCTTTTAAATATAGCTCTTACAAATACAGTAGGGAGCCAGAGCTACCTTGTCTCCTGGTGGATGGAGCAGATTTTGTACATCAGGAACCTGGGCTCTGTGACTTAAAGCCAGGCAGTGCCCCTCTCTGAGCCTTGGCTTCCTGTGTGTCAACCGCTGCATTTTCTGGATCTTGACTATGGTTAGCCCCCCATTACTAAGGCAGGTACAGACACTACCAGTCACTGTCCAGGCCCTGCACTGTTCCTGTCCCAGGTGGCAGGCAGGGTGCACTCTTTCCAAGATGGTTGTGATTCCTGTCCTCAACCCAGACCAGGAGCTCCTCCAGGGCAGGTTGGCAGGTATAATTCACTAATGGATCCCCAGCATCTTGGCATGCAGTATTTGTTGAATGAATGAATGAATGAATGAATGATGGAATGTGGTCTTTCTGTACAGGATAGAACACTTGGGACTCAATGTGGTGCTGCAGCTCCTCGTGGGGGTACCTTTGGAGATGGTGCACGGAGCAACCCGTATTGGGCTTGTCTACGTGGCTGGCGTTGTGGCAGGTAGGCAAGTGAGCCTTGAATCCACAGGGGTCAACCTCCCTGGGGCGGCTAGGAGATCCCATGGGAGTCGGCAAGTCCCAGGCTTCCAGGGACACCGGACTCCATACCTAGGCTCCTAACTATTAGGGTTGCTCTCCAGGCCAATCTCCCCACCTTCCCAGCGAGGCAGGAAAGGGGACTGCCATCTGAAAAGAGAGGCAGAGGATGGCTGGGGGAGCAGCATTTCAGTCTTTCCACTGCCATGTTGTACCTGTGCGAGCTTAGGGAAATTCCTTAACCTCTCTTGGCTCCGTGAGGTTTTAGGAAGGAACTTATAAGATCTACCTGTAGGGTGTTAGGAGGGTAGAGTGAGGTGACGAATGAAATAGGAGTGCCATATAAACTGTGCTGGGCACAGTGAGATTCCCTTGGGGACATCCAAGGTGTGGAGCCAGGTGCCTCCCCAGCCAGGCCAGCACCTGTCCTCTTGACTGACTCTCTGCTGACAGGAACCAGTCTGGCCTAAGAGGTAGTGAGCACCTGTGCCAGCCGAAGGATACTGGGGCCCCGCTAACCCTGTTCACTTGGCCAGGACCATGACCTTGAGGATAGCAGGGTCCCTATAGCCAGCAAGACTCCCCCTCTTCCTCCCCAATGGGGGTGAGGTAGACTGGGGTGAGCTGGGGAGCACAGGCTGCATTTCTGCAGGAAAAGTCTGTGCCAACTGGGTTTCTGAACAGAGGGATCTCCCTCATGATGTTTCCAACTTTATAGCTGGCTTTTTTTTTTTCTTTAACAAGGTTTGCTGCCTCAGCTCTTCACCTTGACAGCTGTGCCCAAGGGAGCTTTGTGTGTATGTTTAAGTAAGATCTTAATCCTTCCTGAGTGGCATTAAAGTTGTCATCAGGAGAGCAGGGCACCGTTGACCTTGTAAACAACAGGCAGTCTGGGACCCTGGGAGCCACTGAAGTGACTTCAAGAACCCCGGAGAGAAGGGTCCCACCCGACCTGCCCACTCTTGGCAAGGCCAGTCTGCTAGTTCATGAGCCCTCAGCATGGCAGATTAGCCCCACACCTTCATTTCTCTGTGTGCTGAGAGTTGAAAACTTGGCCCCTTTGGACAGCACCCCTCTCCCCCGAGCTTCTCCCAGCATTTAGTGCCTTCTGCATCCTTGAACCAAGGTCTGATGAGGATCTCTGTGTGCCAGATGTACTCAGCCACCCACGCACCCCACCCCCAAGCCTTGACATCTGGAGATTTGTAGTCCCATTTTCTATACCTAGATACTCAGAGACCCAGATGGTTAATGGCAAGGAACAGGAAAGACACTCATAACGCTTGCAGTTAGTAGTCATTTGGATGGGAGTGCCAATAACCCAGAAGACAGAAATGAGATTCAAGATGACTCAGGGCTCACCCAAACCAGATGACACCCCATGGGGAGGCTGTGCCAGTGTCACTTCCCAGTGACACCAGTGCAGAGGGGGATGGTGCATCAACAGAAGTATGCCTTGCCAACTAATGGGGAGGGACTGTGTATCATAAAGCAAATAACTTGTGCTCTTATATCTGAGGCAGGGACTCAGAGAGGGCACTCTGGTCACCATGTATCATATCACTAATCCCTAGGATCAAGTTGATCGATCTGCCTTCACCACTCCTCCCTCTCAACTCTGTGTGCATCCCAAGTCCAGAGGGGGGCCCATTCACAGAGAGCCAGATCCTGACTGGATACCTGGTAGTCAGGAAGGGCCTGCCTTCCTAAGGCAGGTACCAGCACGCTCCACTTGTCACAGGTACAGAACCCGAGTGGTAGAGTGCCTCAGGAGACTTGCCCAAGGAGACTCAGTTGTATGTGGTGGAGCTGGCATCAAACCCAGGCTGCCTGACCCCAAAGGCTGTGCTTCAGCCTACTGCCACGTGCAGTGAGAACCCAAAGGCAGGCCTTTTCCTTTGTGCAGATAATTTATGGCCAGAAACCAACTGAGGTCTTAACAAACATCAGGCTCCACTCTTTAGGTCCCACCCAGTGAAAATATTCCAAAGGCGAGGCTGTCAGATTTTGTAGCACAGTTTGCACAGCTAACCTCTGCGCAGGTGCATCTGGTACTTTGGGCCTGCAATAGGGGATTCTCATACGTTACCTCCTATACTCACCCCAAGTCTTATGACATGGGTCCTGTCATCTCCATTTCAGAGGCAGTTCAGAGAGCTGAAATGACTTGTTGGTTTTCTCAGAAGGATCAAGAAGTACTAGAAGTGAGTGGAAACCCTTCCTCTGCCCCATGCTTCTAACCAATTCTTGAGGCCAGTGTGTGAAAACCAGCATTTTAAATGCTCTAGCAAGCTTTTCTTACAGATTATATAGATTATCAGCCATGTGCGCCTCCCCAGAGCCTAACACAGGGATTGGCATATGTTAAGCAACAAATATTTGTAGAACAAATGGAAGAATACATGCATAAATAAAGTTATATTGCTTAAAGGTAGATATTCCACTGATTTTTATTAGGATTTTTTTTTAATGGCTAAGGGAGACATTGGAAAACACCTGCTTTAAATATTTCAGCCTAAAATTTTTGCAGCTGTGTGTTATGATAAAGTCACCAATTTATCTGCATGCTGGTTGACCCAGAATTTTTTTGAGAGAGTTCATAGCCCCCACTAGAACTAGTCTTGGCCTACTGTGTGTGTGTCCCTCCAGTTTGCCATTCTGTCCCCATCTTCTGCCCCCAGGACCTCTGGGAAATTTGTACTGGCCTTATGGAACTGTCGTCCATAAGGTTAGGTTAGGTTCCAAACAGCTTGTCAGGAATCCTATTTGGCCCAGGCCTCCTGCCCTAGGATGGCCATTATTGCTATACTGATATGCACACAGGCCCAGGCTTATATTTGATGTCTCCCACCTCCTTTAGTCCTGGGCTAATCTGCACCCATGTGGGGAAAATCTCTTTGCCACACATGGAGGGCCAGATGGTTACATTCAGGATTCTAGAACCGGGATCCAAACCTCAGATCCTGGATCTCAGGCCAAGGCTCAGGTTGTTGAATCTCTGATCTGAAAGGAACTCTTGAGGTGCCCCCAGTGGGTGGCATATTTGACTCCCCAGACCCCACCCCCATTCAGCCATAGGCTCTCTGTGTTCTGCTCCATAGGGTAGGGGTGTGGGTAAAGTTTCCTTTGAAAAGAGGGTTTCACTGCTCAGCTGCTCAGAAGTTGGAAAGCCTTAGACCTCTTTATTTGACAGATGTGAAAGCTGAAGCCGAAAGAATTCAGGGGCTTTGCCCAAGGTCACACGACTAGCCAGTCCCACCCCCATTCCAGACTCTTGCCTCAATCCCAAACTGACCCCTGATTCTGGGGTCAGGACTTATTCATGGGTAGGGTGAGAGAAAGGTCAGTGTGGGGCAGCTGGACTGCACAGGCTTCCCTGCTGTCTCTCTGCCACTGGTGGATCTCACCACACTGGGGAGGCCGAGGGAGCAGAAGCTGGGTGGGTGTGTAGGGACCTGTGAGAGGAAGGAGGCCAGTCCAGGGAGGCTGGGGCTTCCTCTGTCCATGCGGTAATTAATGAGCCATTTGGGCAGCCAGCCCTCTGCAGCCCTGCAATGCAGCCTTCCTCACTGGCTGCCAGGAGAGCGTGGGAATCCTTTGTCATGCAGATCCCACTGCCTGCCGGTTTGCCACCCTGGGATTTTTTTTTTTTTTTCTGTTATATACAGCTGACCCCTTGGCTAGGCAGTAAAAAAAGAAAGTTATCTGACAATAGATCAATACCTAATTAAAGCCAGAGGGAAGGCATGAAAGGAGAGAAGAAAGATTTATAGTTACCCTGGGAGGGGAGAAGGATGTGGGAGTTCTCAGTTCCCAACAGTGCCTTTTCCTGGGAGATCACATCCCCCCTGAGACCCAGAATTTGCTGTTGGGATCTCTTACTTGAAGGATCTCAGTGAGCCAAGGAGCCTTGAGAGAAGTCGGAGGGCGCAGGTAGGGGAGAGAAGGGGGATGCCGTTATGGGGGTTCTCCAGGCTCAGGGGTGTCAGGTGCTCTGGCTCTTGGGCTGGGCCCTGCCTCCCCTTATGTAGCAGACCCTCCACCTCCATAGAACCTGCAGAGTTTGGCCATCTGCCGGACCCTCCTTCTCCACCCAGGCAGCAGCTAATTGGCTCCTGAGCCTGCAGGCATTTTCCAGGGGTGGTTTCTGCACACTCACCCGGGCCAGCCACCTCTCAGCCTCTGGGCCCTAGGCTCTACCTCCCAGTTATTTTTAGTCTCCCATGTCCTTCCGTGGAAGCGAAAGCATTGATCATACTTAAATGAGACCAGAACAATACATTTCCCTCCTCTCTGCTCAGCCTCCCTCGCAGCACAAAAGTTTGTCATCCCCCAGACCAAGAGTCTACACCCTTCCTTTCCCCCAGAGGATATGACATCATCTCTCTCCCTCTCTTCCCTGGGACTTTTCAAGGACATTTTTCCTCCAGAGAAACCCCCACTCTGGAGATCCTTTTGGCCTGTTGTGATTTCATTTGGCTAAAGGGAGGTTGGAGGTGGTGCCAAGCAGGTTTCTAGATGCCGCAGTTGAGCAGCAAGAATGATGATGGAGGATGGAGGTTGATCTCTGTACCCATTTGGGGAGTGGCTTCTGTTGAGGCCAAAAGCACAGGCCTCGTGTCCACAAAGCTGGATTTACATCCTGGTTCCTGCTCTTCCTACTGAGTGACTCTGGGCTCAGTCTCCTCACCTCTGCAGCGTGGCCACTGTTGTCTTCCTCAAAGAGCTAAATGGGACAGAGTACGTAAAGCATGTGGCCGTTGTCTGATGCACGGTACCTATACGTCACAGCTGCTCTGATAGTATTGCGCATTGCCCAGAACCCTGAGGTGGCACCATGTTATCCCTCCCCTCCACTGAGTCTTCTATAAAAGGAGAAGTTTCAATCAATGGCTCTTCCAGCCATCAGTTAAGGCTTCTAGGGGGCTCCAGGGTGACATGGGATGCAGGGAAGAGGAGATGGAGCCTAGGTTCAAGGGCCTAGGGCAGGGGCAGGGAGGAAGCTCCAGCATCCTTGAATTCCGCATATCTCTCTGTACCAGGGTCCCTGGCGGTGTCTGTGGCTGACATGACTGCACCGGTCGTGGGCTCCTCTGGAGGGGTGTATGCGCTTGTCTCTGCTCATCTGGCCAACATCGTGATGGTGAGCACCTCCTGTCCCAGCATGCCTATCTTGGCGTCCCCTCTGTGCATCAGTCATCTACTCCCCAGCTCAGGCACAGAAATGCCAGGCAGACCTGGCTAATATTAGAGTTTGCAGATGCTCTCTGCTTTCTGCAGGCTTATTTCAGATGGGGCCCTTCCATATATAATTTATGTTTTTTTTTTCTTCTTGGCTATGAAATTACCCATTTCCCTAATTCTACCCCTTTCCCACTAGACTTTAAAAAAATGTTACAATAGAGGCTCTTGGCTGGCTCATTCAGCAGAGTATGCAACTCTTGATCTTGGTGACATGAGTTCAAGCCCCACTTTGGGCCTAGAGCTTACTTAAAAAAAAAACAAGGAGACAGGGATACCTGGATGGCTTAGTTGGTTAAGCATCCAACTCTCTCTCTCTCTCTCTTTTTTTTTTTGTAAAGATTTTATTTATTAATTTGAGCGAGAGAGCACAAGTGGGGGCAAGGGGCAGAGGGAGAAGGGGAGGGAGAAGCAGACTCCCACTGAGTAGGGAGCTTGACGATGTGGGGCTCATTCCCGGGGCTGAATCCCAGGACCCTGAGATCATGACCTGAGCTGAAGGCAGATGCTTAACCAACTGAGCCACCCTGATGCCCCTAAACATCCAACACTTGATTTCAGCTCAAGTCTTGATCTTGAGGTCATGAATTCAAGTTCCACATTGGATTCCATGCTGGGCGTGGAGCCTGCTTAAAAAAACCTTTAAAAAAATTTACAATCCTTGATCACCAGTGGCAAAATTGGGACTTGAACCCATAGTTCCTGACAATGATTCAAGTGTCATTCCCTTACACCAACCTTTCATAGTGGCAAGACACTGCTGTTCCTTTCCCGTGCTCTTTGCCTTTTCCTGAAAGACATTCTAGGGTAATGGTTAAGAGCATAGACTTTGGAGCCAGTCAGCCAAGATCTGAGTCCTAGCTACGTACTTCCTAAAGGAGGATCTTGGGCAAGTTACTTAACTATGCTGTGCCTCAGTTTCTTTTTTTGTGTGTGCCTCAGTTTCTACATCTGTGAAACAGGATGATATGTGATAAATGAGATAAAGTGAAGATAACCATTCAACATAAACGTTAACTCCCTACTCCTCCCAGAAGAGGCCAGGGTGGACTCAGAATGGAGACAGAGTCTCCAAGGCAAGAAATTGTCATTAGTTTGATAGTCTCAGAAGAGGCCAAAGTCCTTGTTTTAGAGGCAGTTAGAAGGAGGGGCCCTCTAGGCAGGGTCCAGGTCTGACTCATCCCCAGTACCCGACAGAGGACTGGACAAATGGTAGGTGGTGCCGACTACATTTTTTTATTTTAAGGAATCTTTACTCCCAACCTGAGGTTCGAACTCCCAACCTTGAGATCATGTCACAGCTCTGCTGACTGAGCCAGCCCGGTGCCGCCCCCCCCCCACCTGCCGACTAAATTTTGAATGAAGGAAGGAGGGAATGAATGAAGTGTGTCTTTCTAGAAAAGGCGTAGCTCCCCACCCAGTCCTCCTGTTCTCACCTTCCTCCTCCCTCACTGTCTTCACCCACATGGCAGATGTGTGAATGCTCTGTTACAACAGTCTGGAGTTCCTAAATTCTCCCATTTCTTCTTTATTATTGCCACCGTCACCTGCCTGCTCAACACACCATCCTTTTCCTTTTCACTCAAGTCCCCTTTGTGCATTGAGAGAGAGAGAGAGAGAGAGAGAGAGAGAGAGAGAGAGAGAGAAAAGAGAGTATAAGTGAGCGTACAGGAGAGGGACAGAGGGAAAGAAAGGAAGGTGGGTGTGGGGTAGGGAGACGGGAGAGGGGGATGGACAGACAGACACTATCAACACTTGCTACTTGTCTGAGTTTTGGCAATTTCACATGAGCACTTGGAGAGACCCAGCAGGTGAGGAAAGGCTTTGTGTGGATGTGCGAGTGTTTGAGCACATGTGCTTACACACGTGCGTACACACACACACACACACAGCCTGTCTGCAGCGCAGCGCTGCCTCATGTAGCCCTTTTAAATGGGTCATTCTGTATCAGTGCCACAGCTTTCCCCAGACACAGCTTTTTCTCTGAATTCCACCTCCGCTGCTCCCCCTCCCCCTGCCCCAGTTCCTTTCTGTAGGGGACTGGGAAATGCTAACAAACCCTCCTTCCCCCTCAAGATGTGTATGTGTGTGAGGGGATGAAGGGACGAACAGGGTAAGAAGAAACAAACTGGAGTTCATAGAGATGCCCTGTTCCCACCCCCTTCCCCACAGCATGGGCAATGGCCCCGAGGCCCCAGAAGTTCCCATGGTGAGGACAGAGCACCCCCAGAATGACAGGGTGGGGCATGGCAGTTGAGGAGGGAGGTATGAAAGCAGTCTTGTTCCAGTTCGCACTTCTTTCTGGCAAGTAGCCCATGACCGGTGGTGGTGGAGATGAGCAGTCCTGTCCAAGAGCCCATTGTCCTTCTAGAAGAACACAGCTTTCCCTGGCCAACTGGGAACTTTATAGTCTCCAGAGCATGACATAGGGTTGCCTTTCCCTAGAAGTTGTGTGGTGCTTATTTGATGGTGGAAAGAAAACCACCTCATTTTCTTATCAGAAAAGTTGATTTCCTTTCAACAAGAGGCCACCTTTACCCAAATTAGCTTAGTGCCCAGCACTTCAGAGTCGAGTTAGGACCATTGCTATAAGATGGACATTTCTATGGGCCAGAAGCATTCAATTGGCAGTTTCATGTGGTTCCATCTAATAGATATGCTAGTATTTTATTTTTTTTTAATTTTTATTTATTCATTTGAGACAGAGAGAGAGAAAGATAGCATGAGCAGAGGGAGAAGCAGACTCCCCGCTGAGCAGAGAGCTGGATGTGGGGTTTGATCCCAGGACCCTGGGATCTTGACCTGAGCCGAAGGCAGACGCTTAGCTGACTGAGCCACCCAGGTGCCCCCAGATATACTAGTATTTTTTTTTATATATATACTAGTATTTTAAATTCCCAAATGAAGATTGGGTCTATGTGTGTGCATGTGTGCATGTGTGCACACATGCGCACAATAAAGCGCCTTCTCAGAACAGACAGAAGAAAGAACCATAACAGTCAGAAAATGTGGATTTGAGTCCTGGTGTCACCATCTTAAGAGCCATGAGCTCCTTTACTTCTCACTTCTCTGCTCCATCATCTGTAACCCGTTCTTCACAAGGTACTTGTGAGAAAGACATGAAAAGGATGGATGGAGGGACTCCTGGGTGGCTCAGCGGTTGAGCATCTGCCTTTGGCCCAGGGCGTGATCCTGGAGTCCCAGGATGGAGTCCTACATCAGGTTCCCTGCGAGGGGCCTGCTTCTCCCTCTGCCTGTGTCTCAGCCTCTCTCTCTCTCTCTGTCCCTCGTGAATAAACAAATAAAATATTAAAAAAAAAAAAGGATGGATGGGAAAATGCTTTCCATGTGGCAAATCACCACACAGCTGTGAAATTCCATGTGTGTATGTCTGTTTATGTGTGTGCACATGAGTGTGCGTGTATATGTGTGTGTTTGTATCCTTGAATACATGTAATTTTTTTTTATTTATACCCATTTTGTCTGTTATCTACAGAGAATAATTAGGAAATATGTTCTTTTTACTTTGGATACAAAATAGAAAAGCGTTGAACACTTCTGTTTTCAGGTTGTCTGTTTAAGTGAAAGATTCTGCCTGAAATGAAAACATGTCTTATTTTTCACAAAAACACTCAGTTCCATGGGTGCCTGGCTGGCTGGCTTGGTTGGTGGAACATGCTACCCCTGATCTCTGGTTTGTGAGTTCAAGGCCCACGTTGTGTAGAGATTACTTAAAACTAAAATCTTAAGAAAAAAAGGCAAAAATAAAAAATCAAACTGAGTTCCAAAAAACTTGCAGTTTACATCAAGGGATTAAATTCAGAAAATATTGCAACAGGGACGCCTGAGTGGCTCAGTGGTTGAGCATTTGCCTTCGACTCGGCGTGATCCCGCAGTCCCGGGATCGAGACCCACGTCGGGCTCCCTGCATGGAACCTGCTTCTCCCTCTGCCTGTGTCTCTGCCTCTCTGTGTCTCTCATGAATAAATAAATAAAATCTTTAAAAAAAATTTGCAACAAAAAAACTGATGGCATAGAAGACCTGCAATCAAGACTTGTTAGTTTAAATGCTAGAAGTATGGGGATCCCTGGGTGGCTCAGTGGTTTAGCACCTGCCTTCGGCTTAGGGTGTGATCCTGGAGTCCCAGGATCGAGTCCCACATCGGTCTCCCTGTGTGGAACCTGCCTCTCCCTCTGCCTCTCTCTCTCTGTCTCTCATGAATGAATAAATAAAATATTTAAAAAAAATAAAATAAATGCTAGAAGTATTAAGATATACATAATTGAATAATTTATTAATTGCTTTTTGCTGGGGCCCACAGGCCAGAGTTCCATTATTAAATATACAAAATATTTACTTACACTTTGCTCCATACAATAGATATTTCCCTAAAGTGTTTGAGATCTCAGTTTTTGCAACAGGACCATATTGTCAAAGCACAAAGAAAGATTGTTATCTAGAAGACACCCGAGGTCTCTTTGTTGTAAGGCTCATTTTATTAATAAAAGTCCTTTCGTAGGACAAATAATGGCTCCCTAATTTATCTGTGTCATGCTTTTCCTTCCCTTGTGCTGGGTTTTCTTGAAGTCGTTTTGACCAGGATACATAAAGCCATCGAGCTCCAGCCTGGATTTCAGCTTTGAGCTCTTAATGGTTGGGTGAACAAGCTGCCAAACTGCTGAGGGGACCGGTCACTGCCTTGTTTGCTGAGGGTGGGTTCTTTCTCACCCCTCGGAGATGCTGCAAAAGATGTGTGTTCCCTGGGGCCACAGGCGCTTCCACATTTATAGCAGCAGTGCTAGCTGTGGGGAGATTCTTTTTTCATTTCTCCTGTTGTTTCACTGCGGTTCATTTTATTGGAGGGAATAATGGGTCGGGGAAAATGAAGCAGCTGGTGTGGGATGGGGTGACTGTAGTTTAACCCTTCAGCTACTGGGAGGCATTGACCACGTTCACTTAGCTTTGGGGGCACTTGGAGCCGCCAGCAGGAAGAGACAGACCCCTAGACCTGAGGGCCCTATTGATCTCAACGTTAATTTACTATGACCTTGAGCCAGCCCCCCTTGTGGACTCTCAGTTTCTTCTTCCCTAAAGTTTAGGGTGGAGATGTGACTGGATCTACCTGGTCAACTCCAGTGCCTTCAGGGCCCAGGCAGCGATTAGATTATTAAGGGAGCTGGCCTGGAGAGACTGCCCAGCTAGTAGTTCAAGGTCATTCAGGAGTTTTAAAGATGCTGTGCAGGCCAAACCCACTGCCTTTGTCTCAGGCCTGACTGATAATATCAAACATTTCCTAGATGGTTACCACATGCCAGGCAATGTTCTTAGCGCTTTATGCATTTGAATTCATTTTCCCTTCACAATCCAGCAAGGTAGGTAATTGAGATAGGCACTCCTGTTACCCCAGATTTACAAATGAAGACACTAGCCAGAAAGGAGTTCTCAGCCACCTCACCAGTGGCCTTGCCAGACCAAAACTATGGATGGTGCTTTTGAAGACAGGCCCCAGATAGGGCCTAAAGGGAACATGGAGCTCAGCTGAAGGACAGCGCGGCCAATATATTCTAGACTGACTTGGCCTGATATTATCACTCAGAACACAGTGAAAGAGATGCTGTCTTTTTAAGTAAGCTACTCATTCAGAGGGCTTTTTTGAGGAAAAGGAATATTGGAAGTGTTCTGTATCACTTTTTTGGGGGGAGTGAAATATACATAGCATAAAATTTACCATTTTTATTATGCAGTTTAGTGTCAAGTATACTCTCTCTCTCTCTCTTTTTTTTAAAAGATTTTATTTGTTTATTCATGAGAGACACACAGAGAGAGACACAGACACGGGCGGAGGGAGAAGCAGGCTCCCTGCAGGGAGCTGGATGTGGGACTCAATCCCAGGACCCCAGGATCATGCCCTGAGCTGAAGGCAGACTCCCAACCGCTGAGCCACCCAGGCGTCCCTTGTCAAGTATATTCTCAATGTTGGGCAATCATCACTACCATCTATATCTAGAACTCCTCATCCTGCAGAAGTGAAACTATTTATCTATTAAACAACTGCCTCTCCTAGCCTCTGGCAAGCACCATTGTATTTGCTGTCTCTATGGGTTCCACCACTCTAGGTGGCTCATAGAAGTGGACTCATACAGACAATATTTGTCCTTTAGAGACTGGCTTATTTCACTTAGCATAATGTCTTCAAGGTTCATTCATTATGTCAGAATTTCCTTCCTTTTAACATTCCCTTTATCTCCATTCATCCATCTATGGACACTGATTTGCTTCTACTTTTTTTGGTGGTTGTGAATAATGCTGCTATGGACATGGGTGTCACTCCCCTAATAGGGGAGAAATAGGATCCATGCGTGGACATCGCAAGAAGACAAAGCCTGGTTGGACAAGAGCAGGAAGAACTTTTTAGTGGTTGGAGCCCCTTCCCAGGGCTGCCTCAGGAGTGTCACAAAGGTGGGAGGGCCATTTTGTCAGCCGATTGGCAGTAGGTGTCTCCCTTTGAGAGGAGATGGTCTGTCAGGTGCCTCCCAAGTACCTGCCCATCCTAGGGTTTCATTCCAGAGAAGCAGGGGGGCTGCCCACCATCAGCTGGCCAAGCTGGGTTAGACTGGGTTACCAGGTCCAGTGGAAAGCACCAATTCCTGTTTTGTTCCCTGTCTTCCAGCGGGCCTTCGCTGTGGACAGCCACCAGCAGGTGACAAACATTGCCTGTCATCTGCTTCTTAGCAGAGAACACATCAGCAAGCAAAGCTGAGATGTTCCCACCTGCAGAGGGGCTGTGTGTTGCTCACCTCACCTTTGATGAAGAGGGCTTGCCGGTCAGTGACGAGTAAGGGGGGAATAGGAGGCTACGGGCAGGATGCTGAATGTCTTCTGCAAGATTTCACCAACTTTTTGGCAGTTGCCCTGTGTCTTCTCTTGCTTGATCCACTGAAGCTTCCATAAATGTTACTGTATGTGCCAGGGCTCAGGGCCCCGGTAACATTTAACACATGTGTTCTCTCAACATCAAAGAGGTACGAGATGTGCCGCCCTCAGCTGGGCCTGGGCCAGGCAGCAAAGACCGAGTGGGTTGGGTGGGAGGGGACAGGAGCCCCTGGCTGTACGCAGTGGCCTCCTTCCCTAGGGCTGATGTGTTCCAGGCAGATTCCAGACTCGTTTCTGTGCGTGCGTGCATCTGGATAAATGGAATGGTGCTTTGAATGTGCTGCAGGAGAGCCCCTCAAAGGAACCCTGTGGCGAAGTCTTTTGTAAAGTGAAAAATCCTTTTGTAAGGTGAATAATTATACTCTGTTTATCTGCTGTGGAGGTTCAGAGTGTTCTGAGATTCTCAGGGGAAAAAGGGATTTGTTTGAAGGCCATCTGGCTCCCCCCTCTTTTCCAACGCCTGATTCTGTAGAGCATCCCCTCCAAGTGATGTCAAGCCCCTGTTTGAACCTCTCAGTGATGGAAGACTCGCGATCCCCCATGATGGCACATTTCATGTTCGGACAGCTCTACTTATTAGAAATAGAAACGTCCGGAGCTTTAAAAAAAATCCCTGAAGTTTTCATCCATTGAGTCTTCCGCTTACAGGTTATACTGAATATGCCTGTCCTTACAGTGACTCATTTGATACTTGACAACAGTGAACTTGACCCCAGGCTCTTCTCTCCATCCATTTCTCATATGTGGAATTTTGGTTTCTTTTATCATCCTGACCATTCTGCTTTGACTTTGCTTAGCTTGCTGTCCTGCATCCCTTCTGCAACCGTGGGACCCCAGCAGTTGATACAGCTCTCAGGTGTTATCTGCCCATGTAGAGAGGACAGGGACCTCATCCCCCTAGATCTGTATTCTCTTTCTCCTATAGTACAGCTCAAGTGCTTTTATGACAGTAATAAATTTACCATTGCCTGAAATCTCATGCTAGTGTGATCTACAACCAAACCACAGCTGCCTCATTCAAGACTTAATGGAGATGATTATTTTTTAAAAGATTTATTTATGGGATCCCTGGGTGGCGCAGCAGTTTGGCGCCTGCCTTTGGCTCAGGGCGCGATCCTGGAGACCCGGGATCGAATCCCACGTCGGGCTCCCGGTGCATGGAGCCTGCTTCTCCCTCTGCCTGTGTCTCTGCCTCTCTCTCTCTCTCTCTCTCTCTCTCTCACTATCATAAATAAATAAAAATTAAAAAAAAAAGATTTATTTATTTATTTATTTATTTATTTATTTATTTATTTGAGAGCACAAGAGAAAGAGCACAAGTGCAAGTTGGAGAGGGGCCAAGGGAGAGAATCTTTAAGTAGACCCCCACTGAGCCCTGAGCCTGGACTAGGGCCTTGAACTCAAGACCATTGAGATTATGAATATGAACTGAGCTCTAAAGCCAAGAGTCAGGGATCCCTGGGTGGCGCAGCGGTTTAGCGCCTGCCTTTGGCTCAGGGCGCGATCCTGGAGACCCAGGATTGAGTCCCACGTCGGGCTGCCGGTGCATGGAGCCTGCTTCTCCCTCTGCCTGTGTCTCTGCCTCTCTCTCTCTGTGTGTGTGTGATTATCATAAATTAAAAAAAAAAATCCAAGAGTCAGATGCCTTAACTAAGTGAGCCACCAGGCACCCCTGAGATAACTTTTTTTAAAGTTAGATTTTCTTAAGTGAGGTACATCTGTAGAGGAGTGGTCAGATCTGGAACTAATGAAACTTTCTCCTTTTTCCCTAGAACTGGTCAGGCATGAAGTGTCAATTCAAGCTGCTGCGAATGGCTGTGGCCTTGATCTGTAGTAAGTACTGACAGGGCAAACTGGGTGGAGTAGAGCCTTGCATCAGGCCTGGAGGGTAGAAAGATGGCAAATCCCTGCCCTTGAGGCATTTATGGTCAAAATAAAAAGGGAAACCTGTCAATAGTGTGTGACAAAGTATGGGTGTTATGAGAGGCTCATTCTGAGGCGGAAAGAGGTAAGAATCTGAACGGAAGTGATGGAGGCAGAGAGAAGAGGGGACACATGGTCTCTCATTCAGCCCTCAGAACATGGCTGTGAAGAGGCTATTTTTTTTTTTTTAAGGATTTTATCTATTTACTCATGAGAGGCACAGAGAGAGAGAAGCAGAGACACAGGCAGGGGGAGAAGCCGGTTCCCTGCAGGGAGCCTGATGAGGGATTCGATCCCAGGACCCCTGGATCACGACCTGAGCTGAATGCAGACAATCGCTGAGCCACCCAGGTGCCCCAAAGAGTCTATTTTTTCTAAGGCTTTATTTACAGGTAGCCCCTGGAGCTCATGGCCCCTGGCCACAGCCATCCAGCTGGAGGTGATGGGGGCAGAATTGAGAGCCAGCCTCTGTTGTTTCTAATGCCCACACTGTAGGCAGCCTGGGGCAGGAGCACCCTGGGCTGTCTGCCTGGAACTGCCTGCTACGTGGGGAAGAAGAGTCAGAATAGACATGGGCGGGAGGATGGGCCTACCTATGTGGACTGCACTTCTGTCCACTTCCACATTCCTTGCCCTAAGGCCCACAGACTCTTTGAATCAGGGCAGTGGGGGACAGTGGGGCACCGTGGAGTGGGGGTGGGGTGAGCGTAGCTTCCCTGTCTGCTCAGACTCTGAGTCTGTTTGTGTGCAAGGAAGGGAGGAGAAGGCTGAGTCCTGATGTTCCAAAAAACCCAACTCAAAACATCATAAAACCTAAAAATGCTGTTTTGGAGCAGGAGACCAAAGTCTTTCAAACCTCCTTTAAGGTACCCAGGGCTTGCTAAGCAAAGGCAGGAAGACGCCCTGGGGCTCAGGGAGGGCTCAAGGAAGGATTCAGTGTTGGTCCCCGGCTGCTCCTCTTCCGCCATCTATCGGTCATTCTTGGACGTGCAGGGCCTGGGCCTGAGGCCCGACAATCCCCAGGGGAATGGAGGTGCAGGCATCTCTGGGTGGTGAAGGTGGCGAGAGGCATGCTGGATAATTAAGTGGTAACTGAACAAGTACAGGAGTCCCTGCGCAGGACTTTCTATCCATCGTCAAATGTGCCTTGGCTTCCTCATCTGAAAAATGGGAATAACAACGACTGTCAGTATTCTTTGGTGGTAGGCAGTGAAATGACTGTTGCTCAGCACCTGTCCTTTTGAGAGAGTACATCCCAGTGGATTGGCCAACCCAGCAAATTCATGCAAGAAAAATGAACTGGAGAATGGGATGAGGCGGTGGGGGGACACCTGGGTGGCTCAGTGGTTGAGTGTCTGCCTTCGGCTCAGGACATGATCCCAGGTTCCTAGAATCATGTCCCACATTGGGCTCCCCACAGGGAGCCTGCTTCTCCCTCTGCCTGTGTTTCTTCTTCTCTCTGTGTGTCTCTCATGAATAAATAAATAAATTCTTAAAAAAAAAAAAAAGAATGGGATGGGGGCATTTTAGCATCTGTTAGGAGAGAATGCCAGTGCTTTGTTGGGGCTGGGTATTCCCATTCTTTCTTTGCCCATTCCCCCCCCCCATCCCTTCTTTCCAAATGCAAAAGCACTGGTTCTGAGGGTTTCCTAAGGGTTTCGAAATAAGACATGAAAACAGTTTTAGAAACTGTAAAGTGCTAGCAGCTATTGAAGTTATTAATGTTCCAGCAGTGCAGCCTGGTACTCTACAGATGGGGAAATGAAGTCTTCTGGACTCATGAACGCAGGGCCGCAAGGGTCTTTGGGTTTGTGCACAAGCTATCCACTCTGCCTGGAATGCTCTTCTCAGGGCCTTTTCTTGACAGTCACATCTCTGCTCAAATTTTGCATCTCTTAAGGAGATCTTACCTGATTCCCCAAACTAAAGAATCCCCTTCCTTATACCCAGCATTGATTTAGAATTACCTGTTTTTTACTCCCCATAGAATTTTTTCTTTTTACTGGAATTCTCTCATGAGAGGGAATGTGTAATCGATGCTAGCCGATTGCCAGATCCAAAACAGGGTTTGTCTGTCCCTCACTCCTATATCTCCAGTGCAGAGAACAAACGTGCTCGACCTAATGGGTAGTGAACGAATTCATGGACGGATGTGTAAGTAGATGGCCGGGTGGATGGCTGGAGTGCAAGGCCTCCCCCCAGCCCCTGCCTAGTGATCCTTCTGTGACTTCTCTTTGCCTCCTCCTCTTGCAGTGAGTATGGAGTTTGGGCGGGCCGTGTGGCTCCGCTTCCACCCATCCGCCTACCCCCCATGCCCTCACCCGAGCTTTGTGGCGCACCTGGGCGGTGTGGCTGTGGGCATCACCCTGGGCGTGGTAGTTTTGAGGAACTACGAGCAGAGGCTGCAGGACCAGTCGCTGTGGTGGATTTTTGTGGCCATGTACACAGTGTTTGTGCTGTTCGCTGTCTTCTGGAACATCTTCGCCTACACCCTGCTGGACTTAAAGCTGCCACCACCTCCTTAAGGCACCCGGGGGACCGAGGTCAGGGAGCGAAGGGACAAGCAGCAGGAGAAAGGAGCGTGGACATTCTCAGCACCAGCTCCATGAGGCAGGGAGGACAGCACGCGATGCTGGGCCCCTGTGATATGTGCATTCAGGTTTGGACAATGGAGCTTCTTTTCTGAAAGGCGCCTGCTGGATGAGTTGGATGTGATTACCATTGTTTTTCTAGACTGTTCTGAGCACATCGGGCCAGGGCAAAGGCCTGGAGGGTGGTGAAAGCAGCCCTCCCCTTGGGCTGGGCTCATTCCGTGTGTTCAGGCGATGCCTCCTTTGTTACAGATTGAGCAGCGGCCTCTTCCCTCACCCTCACCCTGAGATGGCAAGCAGGCCCTTGTCCAGCCCAGAAGTACAGTTACAGGCCAGGAAATGTTTGCTCTACAGCTGTTGGGTTTGGAGATCTGGAGTAGAAGAGAGCGTGGCAGAGGACATGGTGTAGGGGAGCCCAGGGTGCCCTCCTGGTGGTGGGCACTGGGGCATGGCCTCTAGTGCCTAGGCGGGAAGAGGAGGCTGATGCTATAACTCCAGGCCTCCCTCTTGCCCTGGGGGTATCCAGCGAGAGAAACCCCAGAGGAGGGAATACACTTCATCCTAAGCTCAGCCTAGGGAATGCCCAGTACCAACTTTGGACTTCTCCCTTCCTGTCCCCCAGAATCTCACATTGGTGCCCAGCATCCCGTGCCCTGCCTTATTCTCAGAGCCTTTCCTTCTCTTCCGTTGCCCTGCCCTACAGTGTCCTGCCCTGCCTTTCCTTTGGTCATGGGGATATGTGTGTGTGTGTGTGTGTGTGTGTGTGTGTGTGTGTGTGTGTGTCTATGTGGTGGGTGAGGACGCCCGTGTGATGGTAAGAGATGGCGTGGAAAGAATGTGAGGTGAGGGAATGTGAGGCAAGGAAAAACACTGTGCGTGGAGTCAGAGGCTGCGGAGGAAGCCTGTGGGGGGCGTGGGAATGTATGCAGGGTTCTGCATGAGAGGGGCAAAGGCACCGAGAGGTGGGAGGGCATGGCTCCTGAGGATCTTGCTTTCAGCAAACCCAGCCCCTTCTTTCCTCTTCTTCATCCTTTCCAGGTATCTCTCTGAGAGCCACTGACCAGTGTGGGGTGGGGGGGTTGGGGTAGAGAGACACCTTGGGCTTTTGCCCAATTGGCTTTTGCCAAGTTCTGTTCTTGTTTCCCTCTGGAATGACCCTCACACTCGAGGAGCTTCTGTTCAGTTATCCATAGAAGGGAAAGGCTTTAGGGGGTATAAGAGAGGCTAGGGCAGGAATATGGAATCTGTGTGTCCATTGAGTAGCGGGGGAACAGGATGCTGCAGTAAAAGAAATTCTAGTTTAGAGGAAAGCTGCTTCTGGAGGATTGTTGGGTATTTGGGTGAGGGTCAGAAGTGAGGGCAGCCCATAGACTCAGATGCTCAGAGCGTGGAGGCAACTTGGCTATTGTCAAGCTCATCCCCACCCCCGTTGTATGAGTGGGACAACCAAGCTCAAGGAATGACTCCCGAGCAGGGCCTGACGAGGCCTTGAGGAGAAAGTGGGGGTAGGATGGCCTTTGACAAACTATGTGATTCCCTTTATACTGCTCTTGGAATTCCCAACCCCTGACCACCCAGAAAGATGAAGAACTCCAGCCTGGGAGGCAGAGGGACTGGATGTGCAGGGGCGAGGGCAGGGGTTTTGTCTGAAGTCAACTGGGCCAGGCAGTGAGAGGTCTTGGCACTGTGGCTTCCTGTCCTTGGTGATCACAGGTAAATGGGCAGTTCTCCATTCAGCCCCAGACTACACTGAGCCTTTCCCTGTCTTTGCCCAAAGCTAAATAGATTTTCCTGGTCCCCACATCTCCTGAGGTCATGCTGGACTCATGCCAGCACAGTACTAAGGACTGCCAGGCCGAGTTGGCTCAGGCCCAGGTCGGTGGCTGAGTGGAGTCACCCTGAGGCATTTTGTCTGTGTCCTACCAGCCCGTCTTTGCCTTACTGAGAGGAGTGTGTAGCTGGAAGGGTCAGCTTCCTCAGACAGGAGACCAAGTTGGACTTGGGGCCTGAGAGGACTTGGGTAAGCATGGTGAGGAGGACCTTGGCCATGGGCTGCAGCCCCCTAAACCCAAGTGGTGCTGTCTCTCCCTGGAGGAGCAGAGGCAGCTGGTGCCTTACTGGGAGGCAGGTCTGCCCTGCTGGAGTGGAAGGTCACCCCTGCCTTCATCCGGTGTGGCCTGAAGAGGAGTCTCCCTCTCGCAGGGGTGAGAAGACGGTGAGCTAGAAGACTCTAGAAAGCCCTCAGAGAAGCACCCAGAGCTGCAAATGGGAGCTTGCTACCAAGAAGGACTGCCTGGGGCGAAAATCCCATTTGCCCTCCTGTCTGAGTTGCACCAAGGGAGCCTCCTCTAACCTCAGCTCACCAGCCCCAGCTATTCCCTGTCAGCAGTGTCCAAAAGTAACCTAAAAGTTCTTTGGTCTGCTTAACACGCACCTCCCCACCCTCACTCAGCTGTCAGCTCCAGGCAGGGCCACCAGTGGGGTCCACAGTCATTCTACATAACCCAGGTCTCCAAACCAGGCCCAGAGATTGTCTGATAAGAAAGTTTTCTTTTTTGGCGTCTGGCTTTCTCTTTGGCCAGTCCATGTGCCCTCACCCCCAGTACCCTGCCAGCAGCATGCCCCCATCATCCCTCCTTCCTGGTCTGGTACAGCCACTGCTCCGGTGTGCCTCTTGGGGCTGTGGAGGGTGGCTGGCCTTGCATCTGTAGGATGCAGAAATTGAAAACTAGGGATTCCCCCAACAGCAGCCATAGATTTGCACACTCATTAAATGGAAGAGGAATCACAGAAACTAGGGAAGGGAAAACAAATCTTCAAAGGAGAAATTTGGCTTTAATGATACCATTAATCATTCATTTTTTTTAATTAGGAAAAGCTCCCTAATGAGGCGTTTTTGCCAGCTAATAGGATTCTCAATTTCTATGAGGACCATTCTTGCCCAGAGGATTAGGGGAGTCATTGCTCATCAAACCCAGATCTTCCCCTTCGCGCCCAGGGTCCAGTTTCATTTGCAAATAATGTAGATTCCTGGGTGCAGGGGTAGCCCTTTCCTGACATCCTTCATGTTGCTCCCAGCGCCGGCTGGAAAGCACCAATACTCCTCTGCCTTAAAAAACAGTGCCCAAGGCTGAATTCCCCCTCCCTCCAAGGACTTGAGTAAGTGGGAAACAAAAGGAAACACAAGCTGCAATGTTTGTTTCTAAATATTTTTGTATTGTGTACATTCTGTATATTTTTGTTGTAACATATTATTTGAACACAGATTCCATTAAAGATTTTTTTTAAGCCATCCGTTATTCAGGAAGTGACCTGAAGGGCTATTGGAGCCTGTTTTATCTCTGGATTGGGGAGGTGGGAGGCGGTGGACCACAGTGGTGCTGATGTGTGTACAGCACAGCTCCGGGACCTGGTACTTGGTCCTGGTGCTGGTAGCTCGGTGGTTCTTAATCCTTCTAGAATCACTGAACTCTTTTGAATGGTTGATGAAAGCTATGTTTTTCTCTTGCTTTAAAAATGCACAGATAGACAATTCTGCGTACAATGTCGAGGAGAAGGTGATCTGTAAATAAGAAAACTCATCTGTGGATTCAGGTCAAGAACTTTTGTGCCAGCTGTCCTGGTGGATGCCCTGTCTTCCCCTTCTACTCTCACACTATACTCTGACGAGAGATTAATAGCTTGACTACTATTATTGGAATGCTCTTCTTTGAAACATCTAGGAACTTCCTTCTTTACCCCAGTAGCCTACCCCTTATGCCTTTTTAGGGGCAGTCAACACCCGGATCTTGAGGAAGTGATAGGAATGTTCTCAGGGTAAAAGAAGGGGAAAACAAGAGGGGCGTACATGGTAAAGTGTAGTGTTAGGAAGCTTCACAATCGAATGGGCTTTGAATGGATGAAGTCTGAGAAAGTGAATTGTTTTCTCCAGCTTCTCTAAACCATTTCTAAACCATTGGCAGCATATGTGGTTTTGCCATTCATAAACCATTCAGTTTCATCCAGGGATTAAACCACGTTGTTAAATTCAGCCTGGGAGCTGTTTCCCATAATGTTATGTCTCATCAGATTCCTGTAGGCCATGTAAAAACATTTTTAAAAGCTGAAGTTATCCCAGAACAAACTCGAGTACAGCTCAGTCTAAAGGTCCAAAGAACTCACTTCTCTTTCACATGTGGATACTAACTTCCCTGGGGGACACATCAGGACCCTGTCTGAGCCCCAGTGCGCATCCCCCGTCACTCCCCCTCCTGCCATCAGTTTCAGGCTCTACTAGAGCTTACAGGCAAGCTCTCTCTGGACAGCCAAAAGCTGTTCAGCTAGCTTTGCCTTTGGCCTCCTATCACTTCCCCCTTCATTTTTCTGGTTTTCCTGCTTACTAGATTCTCATTCTTCTGATAACTTCATGAGATGTTTATGGGCGATAAGGTAACTGTGAAGACCATTTATTGATTACTTAGTATGTGCTGGGCACAGGATGAGGCATTTTCAACAGATTATCCTCACTTAATGCACATCTACTTGGTATGAAATGGTATGCCCATATTTACACAAGGGGAAAGCTTAGGAAAGCTTAGAGAAGTCTAGGGACTTGTGGGTACCTTATGGCATAGATGGATTCACATTATGGTTCCCAAGTTCATGCTCTCAATCCTCAGCTGTTCATATAGGACTTTAAGGACACTAAACATGTAGAAATGTCGGTTTTAATGATCCAGTCTCACTGCAGTAGTAAAGTAATGGACTTTGGGACATTCTTTCAGTGCTCACTTAACAGGATCTCTGCTTTCTCAGCCCTCCTAGACTTAGGACTTTTGCAATAAAGACCATAGCTATGAATTCATTACTACTCCCTTTCACCCCCGACTCAGAATCTAGCATTTATGCAAACTCGGAAAGATTTGAAGTCTGTGACACATTTAGGAAGTTTAACAGTTGTAGAACTGGAGCTGCCCTCTTGGACGTCCAAGTGGAAAGACTTCATCGATGCCCAGGGGGATCTCCATTACTAAGATACATGGTTAGGAAAATGTGGTCCTCCTGTGGTCCTCCTCTTATTTCCCAAATGCCTGCAGGGTTTCCTAGTATCTAGTATTATAAGTGCACCTCTGGTAAAGGACAGGCATTGTGTCATCGTTATAATGAATGAGAGTAAAGGGAAGTGACTTGGATCATCGAGTTCAACAGGTATAACTTCCCTGGACAATGAATAAAACGTTGTGAGGGAAATTGCCCTCACACCCTGCCTGATGCCTCCAGCAAGGTGTAGAAAGTTGTATTCCAGCAGGTGATGTGATTCAACAAATTCCTTAGCATAACAAGTATAATTTCCCCATAAGCTTGTTGTGCCTTAATAAAAATGTCAGACTTGAGAATGGAGCTAAATAAAAATGACTCTATTGATGAGAAGCTAAGTTGGTTTATTATTATTATTACTACAAATATAATTACAATTAAGCCGAGGCCATTTTTGGTACACGACAAACATATTTCCTCTGTGTGTAGAGCATACAAGTAATACATAAATGTATTCCACACCTGAAACAAATCCTTTTTAAGACTTTAAAAGTTAATACATTAGCTTATTAAAATTTGAATACAGTACATATTTCTGGTCATGAGTTCTTTGGGTTTCTTCTCATGGCCAACAAGGTACTTGATTCCATGTCACCATTTTCGTTGCCTACAGTAGTGATGGTTTGACACAGACTTGTAAAATAAGACTGTATGCTACACAACTGTATAATGTAGTGAGCCTGCATCACAAAATATAAAAGTACACGTAAGGAATATATAATTATATCTTGACTATATCCATAAATGGCTTGAAGCAGGTATTACACTTACTTTTAAATGCCATTTATATCATGGACTGTTGAATGATATGTGAATTTAAAAAAGGAAAAATACATTTTTTAAGACTCTAAATGTTGATGTCCTAATGTTGTCTATTAAAAAAATTGATTTCTAAATGAGCAACTAAGTACATTAGAAAAAGATTCAAGAGTAGTGCCATAGAATTGCTTATTTCCTATAGTCATTCTGAATTTAATGCTATTAAAAAATGCTATTTGGATTTTGTTTTCTGCACTGCCTACAATCCAAGTTATTAAAATTTAAAACCATATGAGAGCCTTTATGAAGATCCTGAATTGTATTTCTCATTAGAGGAAAAGAAATGGCTTGGTGAGTCATGTCCCCAGACTTCTATAGAAGAGAAAGCAGAAGACCGTTGTCAGTCATTTTAAAAGTTAAAACTCAGCACTTACGTGAATTTAGATGAGCTTAGGAGAGGATTTTTACGGGCTTGTGTTCCTCTGAGCATCCTGAGGGCAGTGAGAAGACTTCTGATCTTCTAAACAAAAATCACTATCAAATGGATTTATTAAAGAGCTATGCAGAACAAACTGCCATCATACGTGTGCAGCTACAATTGGCTTCCATGGGAATTATAAATGGCTCTAGCTGAGGGCACATTCAATTGATTTGGAATAAAACAATATGAGGCTTGTAACAAATATACAAAAAACTAAAATCAATGAGTAACTCCAATATGCAGAATCAGTTTATATTCTTTATGTTACAGTTTGCTTATAGAATTTATGTATTTTCTTTTTTAACACTCTGAAAATTCCAGCATTTTCAGAGAAAATAAAATACAGGCTCTTGGCAAATACCTGTGAACAAATGAATGAAGAAAGGGGATGGAGGCCACTTCTGCAGTAGCCTTCCATCAAAGATGATGTTTTGTCTTGAAGCTAGTGCATCTATTTTTAAAGCTCATTTAATTTCTCACACACTTGTGATTTGTGTATTGACTTAAAAGCTGGCTTTATCATCCATGTCATTACCAATCAGACAAAAAAAAAAAAATCTATCCAAGCACCCACAGGATGCACAGATCTGTCTCTGAAACGGTATCACAGCACTAATTTGTGAGACTAGGAGGACATTTTTTATAAGAAGCTATAGTACATTGAAAAAGGAGTATTACAATTTTTCTGGAAGGAAAAATTGCTAAATCCTGCAGCCAACTCCTCAAAGAAGCCACAAAATTACCTTTCAAGATTTTTGAGCATCAAACCCTTAAAGTCTAGAATTTATGGGGCCAGCAGTATACTAAAATTACACAACTCTAACACACATCTAGGACTCAGTGAAGATGGTCCTCAGATTTTTATGTTCTAAGTAAGTTATTTAAAAGTAAAAAATGAAAAAATTTAGAATGTATTTGAAATAGTCTTAAGTAGCAATCCTATGACAATTACAACAACCGTAGTTTCAAACACCAAGGCTTGAATGTACAACTTCACAATATGATGATCTCAAAACATGTGATCAAAAACTTTGGGCAAGAGCTTCTTTCATAAATTCTTCTAGGACAGCCACCACGTTTTTGGCTTCAGGCATTTCTTCATGTTCCACTTTAACAATCTTCAAAAGGATATCTCCACTACCACAGTTCTTTAGAAACATGTAACATTTAAACAGAGCATAATGATTCATTTCTGCCTGTCGGATAAATCTCTTCAAATTATTCGTGTCTTGTATGGCCTAGAAAAAGATTACCCAGTTAAATATATGTTTATATACTTGAGAAAATAATGAAGCCTGAAAAATATCTCCTATTCAGCTGAGAGCCTGACATATGTTGCTGAGATGTTTCCTTTTTTTTTTTTTTTGAATATTTGCATCATTCTTATTACTAATATGCTTTGCCCTTGGGAGAACACAATTTCTTTTTTTTATTAATATATTTATTTATTTATTCATCAGAGACACAGAGAGGGAGGCAGAGACATAGGCAAAGGGAGAAGCAGGCTCCATGCAGGGAGCCCGACGTGGGACTTGATCCTGGGATTCCAGGATCACGACCTGAGCCAAAGGCAGGAGCTCAATCGCTGAGCCACCCAGGCTTCACCACAGTTTCTTATACAAAGTAAAAATACTTTTAAAATCTCCTAAATAAAGTAATAACACTCCTCTCCACCAGAATTTTGAACCCTTAGGCACTGAGCCATTTTTTCGGTGCTTTCCAACTAAGATACGTCACAAATTAGAAGACTGATGTCCCTGAGATACAGGCAAGCATTCAAACAAATTAATTGGAAATGCAATGATATATATGCAGAAGCTCCTGAAAAATATAAAGTAAATGCCTTCTGGGAATTCTAATTTTGAGAACGTCATATTTAATAGACATCACAGCTGTAAAGCAGATTTGTTACTCTGTCACTGGTACTAATTAAAATTCAGACAAAAATGATATGTGGCATTTGGCACATAGCCAATTAATTACCTTTAGCTTAAAGTTCTCCAGTACTTGTCGAAAAAGAAAAGGGTTACCTCCTTCAGTGCCATTCAAAAAAGCCTGCATCCAGTCCTCACAAAACCGGTTGCTTCCTATGAGATATTTTAGAAAAATTAAATAAATAAAACTGAAGTCCTACAAAGTATAAAACATTTATTCTTTCTTTTTGTTATTTATGTATTTTTAACTGAGGTGTAATTGACATATATTAGTTTCAGGTGTACACCAGATATATCCATTGTGATTTTCTTTCTTTCTTGGTAAAAACACTTACAGTGAATTAGTTAATTTTTTAAAAGACTTATTTATTTATTTGAGGGAGAGACAGAGAGGGAGCAAGCACATTCAAGTGGGGGGAGGGGCAGGGGGAGAGAGAATCTCAAGCAGACTCTCTGCTGAGCGAGGAGCCAGATGTAGGGCTTGATCTCATGTCCCTAAAATCATGAGCCCAAATCAAGACTGAACCACCTAGTCACCCCACTTACAGTGAATTATTTAAGACTTCTATAATAGTCTAAAAAAATAGTCTATTCACCACCTGGCTAAGAAATGACCAATGGTTGAAGCCCTGAGTGCGTCTTCCCGATCATATCCCCTCTCCTTTCCCATCAGAAAAGATTATCATTCCCATGTATTTCTTTCAACTTCTATTACATACTTTTTTTTTTAAATCTCTAAGGCCTATATAAGTATTACATTTGTTAAAACTTTGTGTTTTTAATGGCTGTTTCAAAATAGTATGTTTCTGGGCTATACTGAGGCATGTAGCTCTAGTTCGTGCATTTTCGCTGCTATATAGGAAGGACTCTATTGTATGAATATAGCAGTTTTTCAGTTTTCTTGTTGATAGACATTTGCTTCCATTCTTTGCTATTTCAAACAATGGCTTTATGAATATTTCTGAACTTATCTCCTTAACGTACACATATAAGAGTTTCTCTATATACACAGGAGTGGAATTGCTAGGCATGATGGGATATCTGTGGTTCTAGAATTAATACTGTTTTTGGTGAGTCTGAGATAAATATGTGCCAGTAAAAGGCAGGAGAGATAAGTTTGCATCATGTGTTCTCAGTGCAAAAACAGACTCACAACAGTGCCAGGGAGGCTGCCTCAGGGGTTATGGCTCACCTGCATTGTAGAACTGAGGCTGGGAGCCACTGCAATCGATGACCACAGATTTATGTGGCTCCTCCGTCATGGCCATGCACAAAGACGTCATGGTGCCTTCATGAATAAGGCCTTGAAGACTGGCCACACTCAGGAACCTACCAATAACACACAAGTTATTTTCCACAAACAGTATTGCAGGATAGGAGGAAGAAAGCAAATTCATTCTGCACTGGGTGATGGCTTTAAAAATGTAGTATCAGACTTGCTATGGAAAAGGTTCCCTCCTTGCAAAACTCTTCTTTACCTGTTAATGTCTCTCTTTGTTTTTTCATCTGATTCTTTAACTTCAACAGGAGTATAACTTAGAGCCTATGAGAGAAAAATAAAGCCTAATTGATACATGTATTCTAGTTTTCCTTACTGAGCAGCTACTAGATGCTAAACATCAATAACTTCCCCAATAACCACCACACTGGACGATTCTTGATGGGCACTACCCAGAAGCTCTACAGAGCCTTGTTCAGCAGCTGTCCACTGACAATCTAAAACCTGGCATTACCACCTGGTCTCATGGGACTGTCCAGTTGCAGGTGAATTTACCTACCACATATATAAATAAAAGCCAGGCCATATACTCTAGAATTATCTGGAATTTTTCATTTATTATCTGGACATTTTTTAAAAAGTAATCTCCCCCACAACGGGGGGCTTGAACTTTTTGATCCCAAGATCAAGAGATGCATGCTTTACCGATTAAGCCAGCTAGGCACCCCTATTTGGACATTTTTATATAGTTAAAAATCACTTTGGATTTTTGTTTTCCTTCTCAAATTGTTTTAGAAGTTATGCCTCTCCCAGATCACTTCAAAATTATTATTTTTAAATGTTTTATCCTAGGGGGTGTCTGGCTGGCTCACTTGATTTCAGCTCAGGTCTTGATCTGTCAGGGTTGTGAGTTCAAGCTCTGCTCAAGCTGGGCATGGAGCCTACTCAAAAAAAAAAAAATAATAATGTTTTATCCTATTAGGAATATTTAGTATTTGCAATTCTACCTCAGTAATGGAACTTTCTAGGTCTCAGAAAACAGAATTTGGTCTGTCCTGATTGCAAGCATAGTTTGAATGAATATCAGGCAGAGGTGTGGGGAGTAATATTCAGAGAAAGTGAATAAGTCTTTAAATAATCCAAACTCTGCCAAAGTGACTCTCAATTAAAGAAATGCTTTTGTTTGGGCAATACTTACGGCATGTAGCAGAAAGGTAAGCTTCTCCTGGAAAAGAAGAACCACCCTTTGGATTGGGCATACAACATCCTCAAACCAGCTGCTCAGGTAGGATTTTATGTGATTCTCCAAGCCCCTTTCCTAGATCAAGAAAGAATGTCATCTGCTTTAATATAAGCCTTCACTTAGTGTACTTAACATTGGACAGTGAAAAGAACTGAAGATAGATACCTCCATTTTTTAAGCTACCACCAGCAACTCAAAAAAAGGAATTGTAATATAACTTCCCTGAGCAGAGTGGGGATTAATCCTGTACTGAATTTAAAAAACACACTTAGAAATGTAATACATAAAATAAAGAGACCAAATAAATAGGGTTGCATGCTATTTTTTTGCTGGGAGAAGTTGGGCATTTACATGTCCATCTCTCCCTACCACACTGTATACTGTGTGTACTTACTTGAGATTTTTTTAAAGATTTTATTTATTTATTCATAATAGAGAGAGAGAGAGAGAGAGAGAGAGAGGCAGAGATATAGACAGGGAGAAGCAGGCTCTCAGCAAGGAACCCAGTGTGGGACTCGATCTGGACGCCAGGATCATGCCCGGAGCCAAAGGCAGATGCTCAACCGCTGAGCCACCCAGAGACGTCCTGGGGAGATTTTTTTTAAAAAAGATTTTCTTTTTAAGTGATCTTTACACTCAAAGTGGAGATCAAACTCACAACCCCGAGATCAAGAGTTGCATGCTCTACCAACTGAGCCAGCCAGGCACCCCAGAAGATATTCTTTTTGTTTTGTTTTGTTTTAAATTTATGATAGTCACACAGATAGAGAGAGAGAGGCAGAGACACAGGCAGAGGGAGAAACAGGCTCCATGCACCAGGAGCCCGACGTGGGATTCGATCCCGGGTCTCCAGGATCGCACCCTGGGCCAAAGGCAGGCGCCAAACCGCAGCGCCACCCAGGGACCCCCCCAGAAGATATTCTTTTAATAATCCTTATCCCTCAGCACTTGGCTGTGCCTGAAACATCCATGTGTGAACTTATAAAGCACCTCCTTTATAAGGAGGCTGAAGGAGTGAGACAGCTTATTCAGATTCAAATGGGATCAGAGAAGGACACATCAAAGTACTCATCAAAGTACTCTAGCTCGCTCCAGCTGTCAGACATGCTGCCAGGAGGACATCTAAGCTTTCCAGGCTGTGGTGCTCACTGGGGACTAGTGGAAGAGCTCCACTCTGGGAGAGTAGCTCCCCTTAGCCCCATTTCTCTGGCTTACTCTACTCCTATGCTATCCTTTCTTCTCCTGCAGGATCTTGTAAGCACATGACAAGTAAAAGGAATTGTTACCAAATAAATGGGTAGTAAAGTTAGAAGAGTTATGACTTTAACAACTACTACATGCTGGATGTGTGTTTTTTTTTAAAGGTAAGGATAACTTAATCAATATGGATGTATCTAATTCATCAAAGATCGACTAATAAAAAATGGAATTTTTCCCCAAATCTTTGATGTTGAGTTCAAGGACAGTCATACCATTGTAGAGCATGTCTTTGGTACCAGAGGCTGCATAAGCAGTAGTTCTGTCCAAACTATAAGTTTTATGTGCCTAGAAATCAGGAAAAGAGCATCCTCTTCCTCACTTGCAATGTTACCATATACCCTGAATTTAATGGATTCAATTTTTCATGGATACAAAACATAAGAAACAGTCTTGTGAAATTTACAACAGTTACAGGACTATGTTCTCTACTTTCCTTAACCAGCACCTTCCTATTAGCCCACAAAGCTGTACGTTTTTAGAATTTGGGTGTCTTTGTGTCCATCTATGATTTAATAAGTATAACGTATTTATCATCTCAGTCTTATCAACTAAAGTGATCATCTTACCTCATGGCTCATGTTATTTTTCAGCCCTTGAATGTACTTGTCCAATTCAAGCCTGAAAGTATGTTCTTAAGGAAGCAATAAAGGATGAATCAAGGCAGCGTTTGATTTCTCAATAGGAAACATAAAATCTCTCAAATAATGCAAACTGTAAAACATGCCAAGACAAACTGGTTGTATGAAAGTATGAAATGAAGTAAATAGGTAAGGGGTAGAAAAGCTCTTTCTAAGTTGGTAGAAATACTCCTCCATTCGGCTTCCCATGTTTTCCTTCCCGATATCCTCAAAGATCAAAGAAAGGATATAGCTCAAGTCCTTTTTCAGATCCTCCTAAAAAACAGACCACATACTCTGAAGCATTATGTTCAGAGTCCACTGTTGCTGCTTCAGGAAGCACTTTTTCTTGTTGGAAAAGACAGTAATAACAACCGACTCGGTAATCCGGAATCCTAGAAAAGATAATAAAATGTACACTTTTGCTAACTCACACATCTAGTTTTATGGACTGTCCACACCCTGGTCATCTTGATCTGGCAATACTGTTAGGTTGCAAACTAGGTCAGAATGTCCTAGACTTCTTGGTTTACTTGAAACAGCAGGGGAAAACTATCAGGTACCATTACGGGCTTTAATGAGAGTAGCACCTGGAATTTCAAACATGGAATTTAAGTCCTCTCTTATATGAAAAACTCATGCAAATTTTATTCTCATTCATAGTACATCCACGTTTACATAAATATAAACATGTTCTCTTTTTCCCCCAAAACTTCACGAATCACTGAAGCTTCAGGAAGATGTGCCATGTTAATCCTGGGACTTTATCTTTGGTTTGTGGGCTTCATATTCCTGAGGGGGCTTGATGCCAAAATCATAGTCTAAAGTGAACTATAATCACTTTATAGTGATGGCTGGAATTCAACAGAGGATACCTATGTTTAAGCCTGAATGTCATCAATATGACCAGCTTTGTGACCTTAATGTCACAAACATTTCAGTTTATTTGCTCATCTGAAAATGGAAGTAAGAGAACCTGCTCTACTGCCCCCTTATAGAAGAGAATGGCATCAAAGTTTGTGAAAGCGCTTTACAATTGTATACTAGTGTATACAATTTTAGTTTTGGTAATTAATTCTTATTTTCCAAATACAAGACTAAATAAGTATATTTAGGTGGCAGAGTCTGCCATTCAATTAATTCAATTAATTCCATTCCACAAATGTGTGTGTGTGTGTAAGACCCAGTGCAAAGAACAAAGATGAACTTTGCAAGTCTAGTGAGAGCTGATCTTTTGCAATTTCTCATCACTTCTCATATTTAGCTCAGAAATAAAAAATTCAGAACACAGCACATTTTACACTTACCTCAGCTCCACAGATGCAACATTACCCAGTCCTTCAAATACTGCTCCCTTAGAAAGACGCTTAGCAATGAAACTGCGCAGCTCTGGCTCCACTTCAGATGGCAGATTAGTATCCACCAAGGAGAGGCTTGACAAATGAAAGACACATTCCTTACCAGTGGACTACTGCATTTGTACCCCATAAGTCAGAATATTACCAAAAGCCAGAATCTCTTTAAGGATTTGAAAAAGCTTCTTATGACTCCTGTTGGTGAGGCTTCTAGGTGTGTATGTCACCAAGTATGATCTATTTCATCAAACAGTTTAAAATAGTCCTATCTTTCCAGCTCATTCTCTCTAGTATTATGACTCCACTGGGACCCCTAATCCACTGACCTTAACTTCCTTATTGCAATACCATAATGCTATTACAACACCTAAAACATTCCTTATATCATCCATCATCCAGTCAGTGAACATACTGTCGTATTTTACCCTACTCTGCATCCAGTGTTAAAGTTCATTCATTCATTTACTAAATTTGTATTAAATGTCTACCCTAGTACCAAGGGTGCCAGGTCAGGAGACATCAATGAACCAAAGAGACAACAATCTGCTGTCCTAGAGTTTACATTCTACTGTGTAGGAGAGGAACTCTGAAAGGGCATTGAAGCGGGGGAAAAGGAGGATTTTGATTTCTTTATACCCATAAGACATTTAATATTTAATGCAGTTCCAATCAAGGAACTAAGATTAATTGCCTCTGGCTAATCACCAGGGACACTACGAGTATTTGGATCTGCCCAGCCTTGAATGACTGAACTAGTGAGGAAAGCCAGATGAGGTTCCCAGGGGATAGGTGGGCTTGATGGTTTGCCTTGGGGAAAGCTGAATGGAAATAGGGTAACCACTGATATCTACAGGACAGATGAGTGCAGAGAAGATAAAAGCACATGCGTGGGGGCTATGGTCAAGCTGTTTTTACCTGAAATCATCACCAGAGGGAGTTTCTGCATTTGTGCCAACTGGGCTTCCATCATCAGTGTCCCCTCGCTGCTGTGCCAATCTGCACATCACAAAAGCAATATAACTGTCAGTCACGGGCTCTAAGTGCAGCGGAGTCCATCCCCTTCCCCGCCGGCAAGCACGGGGTGGGCGTGGGGGTGGGGGGTGGGGTGAAAGTCAACTGGAAATGCTGCAAGGTAGAAGTGCATGGATCCTCCATTCCTACCTTCACAATAGGGAAAACCCATGAAACGGTGCTGACAAGAGCCCCTTCGCTCTCCGGGCCCTCTAAAAGGTGGAGGAAAGGCTAAATTAAATACCAACAAGAGTCAAGGAAATTTCCGCTAAGAACCAAACTTTCCAGGGCCAAAAGAGCCCCAGAAATGTCTGCCCCGACCAAGGAAAAGGAGGCAGCGAGAACGGAGGATAATCAGAGGGTGGGGTGGAGGTGTGGATGCTTGGGGCCAAGAGGAGAAAGTGGGGCGATAATGACAGGAAAGGACGGGGGTGGAAAGTGACATTAATGAGTGCGCGAGGCGCTGTGCCAAACAAGGGCATGGGGCGACCGGTAGGGGATGAGAGGACGCGGGGGACAGCTGGAGGGCAGGGGCGTGGGAGTGGCGAGGAAGTCCAGGGCGCTGGCCCGGGAGAAGAGCTTGAGGCCAGAGACTAGGTAGCTGGGAGGGGGGAAAGAAGGCCCTGGCGAGCGCCAAGGGTGGGATGCGGGGCGGGGCTACAGGGACGGCCCGGCGCTGCACCTGCTTCCGCGGTAGTTGTAGAGACAATAGTGGCTGCTGGGCGGCGGCTCGAGCCTTCGCTCCTCGGCGGAGCCTCCCTCCTCGCTGCTCTCTAGCTCCTTTTCATCCCCGTCGAGAGATTCCTGCAAGGAGGGGAGCATCGCGGCGGCGGCCTCCGAGCGGCCCTGTGCTCCCGCCAAATCGTTCCCCCGCTGCCGTACAGTCCTCCGAGGCCGGGCTCGTGCGGCTCCCAGCGCTCGCGCACCTGCGTTCCGCCGGCCTCCCGGAGTAGCAGGCCAGGAAGCTGGCGGGCTGGCCTGGGAGGTGGGGAGGTGGGGGGGTGGGGGGTGTCTCCCCGCACGGGCTTTTGGGCGCGCCCAATTACCTCCCTAGGATCTTCTACCATTTCTCTTTTGACTCCCTTTGCTCTTCTGGCTGTTGTTTAAGACGTCTAGGAGACGTAATAAACATGGTGCCATTAGCCAGCCGCATGGAAAAGGGTGAAGCTGCCCTCCTACCACCCTTCAGGTGCGTGGACTCGCACTCACGTGCACCAGTTTGATGAAAGATCGAAGAATTTATTTTTAAAGATTTATTTATTTGAGAAAGAGGGAGCGCGCCCACACACAAACGGGGAGGGACAGAGGAGACAAGCAGACTCCCCGCCAAGCGCGGAGCCTGACCTGGGGCGTGACCCCAGGACCCCATTTCCTGACTTGAGCCAAAAATCAGGAGTCAGAGGCCCAAATGACTGAGCCACCCAGGCACTCCAAAAGATGTAAGAATTTAAAATGCCCCATCCCAGGTTTTTGAAGATTCTTGAAGGCCTTTCTAAATATTTAAAATACTTAGAAGCCACAGGAGAGGGCCACCTGGGTGGCTCTGGTTGAGGGTCTGCCTTTGGCTCAGCTCATGATCCCGGGGTACTGGGATCGAATTCCGCATAGGGCTCCCTACAGGCAGCCTACTTCTCCCTCTGCCTGTGTCTCTGCATCTCTCTGCCTCTTATGAATAAATCTTAAAAGCCACATGGGGAAAGATTAATAAATCTAAGTAAAAACTAAGCACTTCTTTTTTTTTAAAAAAAATTATTTTATAGTATATCCCATGGGGAGCCCTATGTGGCACTCAATCCTAGCTTTGGGGATCAAGCCCTGAGCCAAGGGCAGACACCCAACCGCTGACCCACCCAGGCATCCCAAAACTAAACACTTCTGTGTAGCCTAAAGTCAAAACACAAATGACCAACTAGGAAAAATATTTGCCACATATATTTGGGGCTCAATCCCAGGACCCTAAGATCATGACCTGAGCCGAAGGCAGACGCTCAACGGACTGAGACACCCAGGCTCCCTAGATTTTTTTTAAAAATCTCTACATTCAACATGGGGATTGAACTCATAACCCCAAGATCAAGGTTGCATGTTCTACCAACTAAGCTAGCCAGGTGCCCCAATGTACATGGTTTAGAAAGGAATTTGAAAATGTCTATCAGTATTTTAAATTCACATACCCTTTGTCTATCAGTGCAACACCAAGACATCATTAAATGGATACATTCATGTAAGTGTGAAAATAGGAGCCCAAAAATATTCCTTGCAGTTTATGATGAAAAACTAGATCCAATCTGAATGCTGGTCAATAGAGGACTGATTCCATAAGTTTTAGTAGACATGCAGTGATAGAATAATGACACTCCCCCCACCCTGCCAAGATGGCCACATCCTAATCTCTGGAACCTGAAAATATGTTACCTCGCATACAAGAGACTCTTCAGGTGTGATTATAGTAAGGAACTTAAAATGGGATAATTAGGGATTCCTGGGTGGCTTAGTGGTTGTGCATCTGCCTTCCGCCCAGGTTGTGATCCCAGGGTCCTGGGATTGAGTCCTGCATCAGGCTTTCCATAGGGAGCCTGCTTCTCCTTCTGCCTAAGTCTCTGCTTCTTTTTCTGTATCTCTGAGTAAATAAAATCTTAAAAAAAGAAAAGGGATAAGTATCTTGGATTATCCAAGTAGGCCCAATGTAACCATAAAAATCTCTCTAAAAAGGCAGGAAATCAGAGGAGAAGACAATTGTGATATATAGAGACTGAAGTGATTTGGGATCACAAGCCAAGGAATTTAGGCAACCTCTAGAAGCTAGAAAGGCAATAGATGATTCTCCCCTAGAGCCTGCTGAAGAAATACAGGCCTGCCAATACATTCCAGACTTCTGGTCTCCAGGATTGTTATATAATAAATTTGTGGTTAATTCTGTTACCACAGCAATAGAAAATTAACACACCTGTATACCAGAGGACTTTGCAGCTATTAAAAAGAATGAATTGGAATATATGCACATATAGGAAGACAATCCAGTATTTGTTTTTTCCTGGCAACACAATTGAAAGAGCCAAAGCATGCACACAGGGAAAGGCAGAATAATCACTGACAAGAAAGTAATGGAGAGTTAGGGTGATCTTACACAATCTCATTATTGGCTTCTTGACCATCTGTGAACATAACCCGAGGACATTAGTCTTTGCAAATTAGTCTATCAACTGCCAACTGCAATAATATCAGTATAGCATTTATATTTTATTTTTTTTAAAAGATTTTATTTATTCATGAGACAGAGAGAGGAAGAGACACAGGCAGAGGGAGAAGCAGGCTCCATGCAGGGAGCCTGATGTGAGACTCGATCCCAGGTCTCCAGGATCATGCCCTGGGCTGAAGGCGGTGCTAAATCGCTGAGCCACCCAGGGTGCCCTAACATTTATATTTTAATAGTTATCATTTATTTAGCAGTAACCATGGGCCAGGAGATTTCTGTATTTTATATCATTTATCCTTGGACCAACTCCATAAGACGGGTTTATCTTCATTTTATAGATGAGAAGAGGGATCCCTGGGTGGCGCAGCGGTTTGGCGCCTGCCTTTGGCCTAGGGCGTGATCCTGGAGACCCGGGATCGAATCCCACATCGGGCTTCCGGGGCATGGAGCCTGCTTTGCTTCTCCCTCTGCCTGTGTCTCTGCCTCTCTCTGTGACTATCCTAACTAAATAGGAAAATTAAAAAAAAAATTTACAGATGAGAAGAAAATGGAGGCTCAGCCAATATGTGATCAATCTATAATCTTTTTTAAAGATTTGAGAGAGAAAGAGCAAGTGCACAAATGTGGGGTAGAGCTGGGGGCGGAGGGAGCCGGGAGGGGAGAAGCAGACTCCTCACCGAGCAGGGAGCCCCATGTAGGACTGGATCCCAGGACTCTTGAGATCATGACCTGAGCTGAAGGCAGATACTTAACCTACTGAGCCAGCCGGGCGCCCTGATCAACCTATAATTTTTACTGCTGTTTTATTTTTTAAAGATTGTATTTATTTATTCATGAGAGAGAGAGAGAGAGAGGCAGAGATACAGGCAGAGGGAGAAGCAGACCGCCCACAGGCAGCCGGATGCGGGACTCCCTTCTGGAACTCCAGAATCACGCCCTGAGCCACCCCAGCGTCCGTTACTTTATATTGTATTCTTCCGCTTGGGTCTTGGAAACAATTGTAAGAATAAGGCTCTGTTGTGTGATGCACAGAGGCCTTCATAATTTAGCCTCTACCTGCTCCTTTTACCTTCATTTCTTTTTTTTTTTTTTAAATATTTTATTTATTTATTTATTTATGAGAGAGAGGGAGAGACATAGGCAGAGGGAGAAGCAGACTCCATCCGGGGAGCCCGATGTGGGACTCGATCCCAGGACTCCAGGATCACGCCCTGGGCCTAAGGCAGGCACCAAACCGCTGAGCCACCCAGGGATCCCCTACCTTCATTTCCTATCACCCTCTGCCTTGCTAGTTCTGTCCGGGTCCCATTTCAAGGTGTTTCCCAAACAGGTCCCTTTTTACCCCCACACCCCTACCCCACCCCCTGCAGCGTAGCAGTCTTTTAATTTACGCCTGTCTGGAATGCCCCCAGATAGCTGCATGTCTCTCTCCTTCGAATCAGTTCTCTTCACAAATGCCACCTCCTCAGAGCGAGAGTCAGAAACGCCCTACACAACCCACATCCCACACAAACCTCTGCCATCATCCCAGCAAGACTGTCCCCTCCCCTTCTACTGTTTAGCTCTTCCTCAGGACCCTCAGCACTCCCGACGTTACGTCAGGATTATTCACTGTCTGCCTCCTCACCGCTCTAGGGTCTCGTGCCGAGGTACTGGGGTCCAGGACTTTACTTTTTCTTTGTGGGGGATGGCGGGAATGGGGCGGGGTGGGTAACAGAATGACACAGTTCAGACCCTCACAAGATGCTGCTGCCGGTGAATAGCTGGACTTCTTCCATTCCAGCCTGGATTCCTCTTCCTCCCTGGAATTGTCGTCTCTTGCCACCAGCCAGCGCCGTGAGCTCCGGCTCTATCTCAGGCGCCCAGCCTCAAAGACTTGCACTTTTTGCTCCTTCTGTGAGATTCTGTCTCTTCCACTTCCCTTGCTCCCACTGACCTCTCAGAAGACCTTTCTTTCTTAATTTTTTTTTTAAGATTTTATCCATTTATTCATGAGAGACACAGGAGAGGCAGGCAGAGACACAGGCAGAGGGAGAAGCAGGCTCCATGCAGAAGCCCGATGCGGGACTCGATCCCGGGACTCCAGGATCATGCCCTGGACCAAAGGCAGGCGCTAAACCGCTGAGCCACCCAGGGATCCCCTCAGAAGACCTTTCTTATCACTCCCAGTGGCCGCCAGGACCCCGTTGGGGGCTCCCCTCCGGAGGTCTGCAACACCTTGTATTTCCCCCACTCACGGCACCCACCGCACGGCCTCGGTTACTCCTCTGCCACCCATCTCCGAATTACAAAGCGGAGACTGCCGTTTCTTTAACTTCACCCGTAACAAGCAAATGCCCAACACTTACTACATCAACGATTCATCCGGGCAATGAAACGAAAGTTAAAAGTTGGGCTCTGTCTCATTATTCATGATTTGTAGTCTGTCCTTAATGACCCTAACCACCTTTCCAGGCTTTGTTTCGTTTTTTGTTTTTTTTTGTTTTTTTTCTTCTTCAATTGGCCGGTGTCTCGGCGGCGTTCCTCAGGCGCCTGCCCCCTTACAAAGGAAACCGGAGGGATCACCAAGCGCCACCACACGAGAGCCCGGATAGCTTACACCGACAAGATGGCGGCCGCACCTCAGCGGCCACGAGTCTCCACCCACTCAGGGAGGAGGCCTGCGTCATGTGACCCTTCC